GAAAACAAAGCTGCTGCTGGGGAGAGAAGATGTGGAAGAACTGGGTAAGTCTGGGTATGGCTTTAGGACAGTTCAACAAAAAGGAATCAATTGAGGTTGATTCTAATGGATTTTGAGAGGAAGTGAAGAGAGTTTCCCTTATCTTCTGGTTCTTCAGTAGTTTAACAAGTGGCTAATGATTGTCTTGCTTCCAACAGAAAGGTTTGCTCAGTATACTTAAGTATAATCTTCTCAGTCTCTGAAGGTTAACATGAGAACTGGTTCAGTCCAGTTGTGAGGTAGATTGTTTTTTGGTTCCCTGCTCTCCTCACAGCTTACAGTTTAGAACCAGGAATCAAAGGAAGATGTTTTTGATGGTCCCTTGGTCAAACTGTATCATAGGTGGCTCAAAGTTCCCTTTTTCTCCAGCCCAGACAGTGCAAGGTGGCCTTTATGGGGTATATGTAGTGCTCAGTTACAATGCAGCATGAGCAAGTATATCCCAATCTGTCTAACCTTGCAATTACAGCAGTGAAAGATGCCATGGGACGGGACTTTAATGAAGAAGCAGCAGCTCCCCTTTGGGCACTGTAGGAGAGCCCTGATGTGACTGTCCTGCAGTGAAATCTGATGGGAATTCAGGCACTGCTTCTGCTGCCCGCCTGTCTGACCACAAGGCAGCCCTGCCTCTGAAAGGAGGCACTGGTGCTGCTGTGACCCAGCACACAGACAGCTCGTCCCCGGGGCCAGGCTGAGAAGAGCAGCGTGGTGATAACCACTGAAGGTGGTACTTCTGGAGGATGTGCATGAAGCAGAGCTTCATGAGTAGGTAGTCCCATTTCTTGGTAAAACATGAGGTGCCATGACCTCCTCTGCTTTTCCAGAGGGGGTATGTTGAGGAGTGATTTCTGAGCTACAGTTCAGCTACAAAAAGCAATTTATAAATACTTAACCATTTAGCATGGCTGGAGACTCTGTTGTACAATGGCTCACAAATGTTATGATAGTTCATGAAGTCTGTATGAGGGGCGTAAACTGAAGAATGCCAGCCTGGGCTTACTGATTGGCAGTCAGTGTAAACTGCTTGTGATTTAGGCCTGAGTTCATGCAGGAAAGAAGTGGCTGAGGAGAAAAAACACAGCACAGGTCACCCAACCTGGTACTTCAGCCATGAAACAATCTTTATATCAGTTGGTTCAGCCTTTAATGAAATCCCCACATGCCCCTTTGTGTCTCGAATCAGTGGAAAGGGGGTTAAAAATTCCCAAACTAACAAGTAATTCATATATGAAAAAGGCCTCTGGGCACATCAAACTTTCTCAATACCATTCAGTCTTGTACTTACCCTTAAATGAATTATGCTGGGTTTGTAATGACTGAGGTCTTTGCTTCAGCTTGCCTTCTGGAAGACTGTTCCAGACCTCCCTCTATGTGTTCTGGGAACATAATTTTTGCTGAAGTATTGGTTTTTTTTGTGGCCAGTTTATATCCCACTTAGCATTTAACTACTTCTATATATGTGGTGAGGTCTCTAGCTTAGTCTGTAATAGTTATGCCCATATAAAATAGTTTCCACTGTTGGGGAGTACATGCATCTGACCGAGAGCCTTGTGTGACCTTTTACTTTCAAATATGTCGGCCTGCTTCTCCAGAAATGATCATTTTGGCACCTATGAGGAGAAATGCAGGTGCAGATCCCAGCCAACATGACTTGCTGGTTTCCATTTGTTCCAGTGGGGAGGCAGCATATAGGTTGGTGGGCTTTGCAGGTCGCTCTCACAGGGAGAGGTATGCCAGTACGGTCTGAAGGTGAGAAGGAATGGCTTCCCAGCAATTGAAAGGGGAAACTACTGCTTCCCCTGCCTCCTCATTACAAATTCTAATTCCATAATGTGATCAATGCAGCAAGACTCAGACTTCACAGGAATGTGCTTCAGTGACTGGAGAACGTGTTCTCCTGCCAGCTGTCTGTGCTTTTCTTCCTAAACCCAGTGCCTGCCTAGGGGAGATGGGAAAATGACACCCTAGCCGTCTGTGGGACCCAGCATTACCTGCGCTGTGCTGACAGGACTGTGAACACGTTGATTAGTAGGTGGTGTAACCCATGTCTTAATATCATCTGCAGTAATTAAGGAGAAATGGGAGCATGGAGGTGCTTTCTGCAGCGTTTTGGCGCACACCATTAAGAGCAGTTGCCGAACATGACCCTTTGGGAAGGCAAATGGCATGAGCAGAGCAGGTTTAAAGATCTCCGTCCATCTGTGCAAGGCAGGTGAGTCAGCAGCACCTAATGGCAGGTTGTTAGCAATGAGCACAGATGCTCTTGGCTCCTCTGCCTGTCTGTCAGAAGAGCTGTGTCATTTCCACACAAGTTCAAAGTGCAGGTGTGTCAGCATGGTGAAAGGATGCACTGAAACTTTGGGTGTGTATTGTCCAACAGCACTGGTTGTGGCTTTGTCACACAGGGTCATGTTTGTGCAACTGGGAAGCAGGAGAAATGGAAAACCAGAATGTAGAGATACTGCATCATTCATAAAAGGCCAAGATGTGGAAGGTCTTGTATAGCAGGAATCCTCATAATATGTGTCAATTGTTACGTTTTCAGCACAGTGGGTGGTAATGGCTTCTGCTAAATGGTTTCCAAATGCAGCTGCTGGAATGAAAGGCAGGAATACCCAGTGTCCTGCTGCTGGGAGCTGAATTGTACCTTCTGACCCAGTAGTTTTTAAGATGTTAAGCAGAAGGTGTTGGGAAGTCTCTCTTGGTTCTTTAATCTGTTTCCTAGTTCTATCATAAGTCCAAAGAAGCCCTGAAAGGCACTGTGGTTTTTTGGGTTTGTTTTACCTCTCCCCCGTAGAAATCTAAGCTCTAAGGACTGTTGCAAAACGTGATTGTGTTGTAAAAGTTCTTCTTCCCTGACAACCCTTTCTTTGCCTTGGTGAAAGCTCTTGCATCAGGATGGCACTGGGCAACCACTACTTTCAGCACAGGCAGACCTGATGATGAGATTTACAAAGCCCAGCAGTAAAAACTGTGCTGATGATCAGTGTCTTCTGTCAGCTGTGGAAGTCTGCGTCACCACTTCTAGCTGAGCTTTAACATACAGCCCTCAGAACAGGAGTCTGAGGAAATAGAGGCAGTTGCTGGTGGTGTTACCCATTACTGTCTACCTGAGCCTGGAGGTCTGGTCCATGTCAGGCTTTGTTGGTGGCAGAGGCAATTTGTTAAAGGGGAAAATTACACAGGGATTAATGTTGTGTGGGTTTTGCCTTTGAAATAGCACAGATCACTATTCCATTGCTCTTTCTTACTAGCTTAGTGTTATGCCTACACTGCTTTGTGTCTCAACTGTAGTGGCTTTGTTTTGTGCTGTGGTGCAGTATGGCAAGCTCTGCCTGAAATGTCTTGGGCCCTCTGGGGACTAAGGGGAGGGAAGGCTGGTTTAGCAGCCTTTAAAAAAGACGTGGGAAAGGGGGTGGAAATGCTTTGTCTTTTTACCAAAACAACAAACCACAAACCCTAACAATTCTTCTACAATGTACATAAAAAGCCCTGGGGACATTTCTAAAGGATTTTATTCGGTTTGTTTCTTCTCTTAGAAACTCGTTTTTCCCTCTTAAGCTCAAGGGCAGCATTGATTTTTTTTTTTTCTATTATTCTTATTTTAATTGTATAACAAGATGACCTATATCTGCCCCTCAACCTGCCAGAGTGCCCAGTCATTGCGTTCATTATCAAATTAAGAACACAAATTAAAAACTCTATTCCATGTCCCCAGATCCACATTTTCTGTGTTTTGCAGAATCACTGGTTTCACCTGCATGCTGTCAAATCCACGCAAACAGGCATAGCATCCATTTTGCATTACACCACAGTGCTGTTGGCAATACGGGACACAGATTTAGACTTGACTAATCTAGACTGTTATTTTGAACTACAATTTGCATTTCATATACATATATATATATATATAAAATACAAGGTGTTTTGTTTGGTGTAAGTAGTGGTAGGTACTGTTGTCAAAGCCCAACACAAAGTGTGGTCCATAAGCATTTAAGGTGCTTGTGGTTTGCAGTGATACCTCCCCACTTAGATTTCTTGGTGCAGAAGCTTACAAATTCCCTGTGCTGCATAGAGCTGAGGGTCTCTGAACACAAAAACCCGAGCCCTAAGGGTGTCTAGCACAAAGCAGCTAGCTCTGGGGCCTCCAAACAGCTCTCAGCGATGGTGGCTGGGGGACTGCATTAGAGGGCAGACCCGGCCAGGGAGCGTGTGAGGCCACAACTACCCACTGCCAGTGGTGGGTTGGCTCTGCTCTGGGTGAGAACAAGTGAGACCTTGACCTTCAGGCCTTGCCCTTAACTCGGTGTTTCAGCGGGGGTGCTACGGACCGTGCCTACAAGGGCAGGGTCGATCACGCTGGGTTTTCAGCCTGCTTCTGAAGTCTCACCTTTGCAGTCGCTGCGGTTAGCCACCAGCTAAGGAAAGCAGAGACACGGCAAACGGGCACAGTTCAGAAAATAAAAACATCACTTAATGAAGGAAGATCGATGCAACGCGGGGATTGTTTAAAGCCTTTTAAGTTAGCGGTGACCCTCTGGAACAAGCGACAGCCTCGAGCCGCCCGGCACCCAGGCGGCGCGGCGGGGGCAATGTACGCGTTGTACGCCAGGCGCTGCCCCAGCTCCCGAAGCCGGACCGGTGCGGTGCGGTGCAGGGCTGAGGGGGGGGACACGCAATGGCTGCTCCCGCCGCCCCTTCCTTCCCCTCAGCAGCGGGGCTCCCTCAGCGCCCGCCGCCGCCGCGCACGCGCCCGGTCCGCCCGCCCCGCGCAAGGCCCCGTCTCCTCCCCCACAATGCACCGCGCCAGGCAGCCTTTGAAAAAGCGGCGCGGCTCGTTCAAGATGGCGGAGTTCGATCAGCTGCCTGACGAGAGTGAGTACCGGCCGCTGCCCCCGCCACCGGCGCCGCCGGACCCGCGCTACCCTCCTTCGCCTTCCCTCTCTGCCGGCGGGACGCCCGCGCCGCGCCCCGCCTCTCTGCCTTTCTCGCCGTGGGCGCTGTGCGGGGCCGGAGCCCGAGCCTCCTCCCTGGCAACCGGGCCGGCCCGGCTTCCCCCTGTCTCCGGCGTCGCCCCGCCGCTGCCGCCTCTCCCGGGTGAGGCCTCGGCCCAGCCGGTGGCGCGGGGAGGACAGCGGGCGGGGAGCTACTTCCCCGGGCTGCGACCCCCGTTGCCCTCGGGGGTGCTGGGGCTGGGTCCCCCCCGCCCCGCCCGGGTGAGGCGGCGGTGCTGGCCGGGAGTCACCGGCCGGGCGGGCGGGGTGCGGGCCGGAGGCGCGGGGAGCGGGGCCGGGCGAGGCGCACCTGATAGCCTGGCCCGGCGGGGGTGTGAGGGCAGTGCGGGGCACGGAGCGTCGTGCCCCGGGGAGGGCCGAGTGGCCTGGTGCTCCTGTCCCTTCTGTCCTGCGGACGGGGAAGGAGGGCTTATGTGTTTATGGTGTGTGCTGTGTACAGTGTGAGTACCCCTGAAGGACGGGGGGGGGGGTTAGGGCGTGCGCATTGCATCTAGGGGGCACTGATAAATGCGGAGGGAAGAGCTCAGAGACCCTGTGTTGTGTGTGTCATTAGGCGAAAACTGGCTGTGTAGGGAGACAGTATGAAAATACATGCCTGCTTGTGGCTTTCGTGCTTGTGTACACACAGACCTATACATATACATAGGGTTTGTGGGGATGTCATTTTCAGTGCACGTGAGGAGCAGGTGAAGACTGAGGTCTAGGTGAAAGAGACACGTGTTGCTGTGTATGTGGATGTGTGACAAGGTTCTTGAGTATTATAGAGCAGGAAATCATTCTATGTAAAATGGCTCTACATGCTATCTTGATATGACTTCTTAGCAACTGTAGATACACGCCAAGCTAAAACAAAGGTGTTTAATAGTTTCAGTGCATGCACATACAACAGGATAGACTTACATTTTTAGTGACACTGTTCTGTGCATCACTATGCAAATTAATGAATATGCCAACTATTTCTATATCAGAACATTCTCAAAGAGAGGTGACTTGGAGGTGAAATCTTCCTGACTACTTTGTGAGGGTCTTTGTTACAACTCCAGCAACTGTCAGGAGAAAAATCGGTTATGATGTGCCTATGTGGCTGGTGTCATGTTAAAAGATTTATGAAGGATCTTCATAAATTAAGGATAGAACCAACACTCTCCATTTGGTACAGCCCAGTCATGTATGCTGTACTGTATTAGAGTTTGATTAATACAAGTCATGGACAACCTGAAACAGCAATAATTAATAATAAGGTGCGTTTTATTGCTTATTGAATCAACTTTACTTGTGCACTAGAATGGACAGTGTTTAAGTTACTGTTTTACCTTACGCATCTTCCAAGGTGGGCACCATTGTGTGTCAAGAAGTTAATGTAAAGTATGAAAAAAATAACCAAACACTTTTCAGCTCTGCCGCCTTTATGTTGCCTACAGTGGCATGAGGAAGATGTGACAGGTCTGTTGCTCCACCTGGAACAGGTACTAGAACAGAGCGTGTGACTCAATTTCACTTAGGATTGTGCTGTAGTGCAGACCCTTGCCAGCAGTGTCAGTGTTATGGTATCTGCTAGGCAGGTGAAGCAGACACACAGTGTATGTGTTTGTGAAGGTAACGGGCTTTTCCTGTGCTAACCTTACCTCTAAGGTTTGTATTTACTGGAGTTTGGTTCAAGTAGGTGATATTTTTTTGGGGTTTCATCAAATAGGGAGCTTCATATTTTCTGTAGTGTTGGTGAACTAAAAAGCTAAAAATGTGAAAGTTTCAAAGAGAGTTTGCCTTGTGCTTCCATTCCTATTTGTTCCCATTTTGGTGAACTGTAACTGTAGCCTCATGTAGTTCTTTCCAGTCCTGTATTTAGATGTAAACTTAGTCCTGACTGATTTAACACTGACTTCATGCAGCTTTCAGTCTGCCACTTAATTTATACAGGACAATAAGTAAGCATTGCAAAATTGGGTTTGGCATCTTCCATAGTGGGGTAAAAATAAGTTTCTAAAAAAGTTAGAATAGTTAATGGCTAACAGGCTTTCAGATCTATGTATCGTCCCTGGGAATTTTCTCCAGCATAGCTTGTAATAAAGTATCAGACCATAACTGTTTTTTCACGTAAGAAGAATTATAGGTAAATGCAGCATACTTGGTGACAAGGAAACTGGGATTCTGCAGTATGGTAGGAACTATGCAGTTTCGTTTTCAAAATAGAAACCTGATGAATTGGAATTTCTCCCAGAGTATTCTGATAGCACCTACTTGCCCTGTGGCAATTTCAGTATTGCAGCTGGGAGGTGAATATTCCTTAACCCAGGAGGGAGAAGAATGTAATGCACAGTTGGGTCTCATAATATATGCTTATATTATCTGCTAAAGTTACTGTTATTTCATTCTTCTCTAGAGCTGATGCTCTGTCCTTTTGAAATGGATAAGAGAGCTCACACTGACAATGTAAAAAATGGAGGTGCCAGTGTCTTAAGTTTATGTGTGGCTCTTGTAGTTGAGGCGTTTTGTTACTCGTGCTGCCAGGGGAGTGTGATACACTAACCTGGGATGGAGCAAAACACTGTGAAGAAAGACCAGTTCTGTGCAAATCCCCTAGCTGGCAAATTCCAGAACATGAAAGATCTCGGTTGCAGAAGTACTTCCAATACTAATAATTTGATTTATATTTTAGAGCCAAAATTTGTTTCTGCAGACTGCTGGGCTAGTGCCTGATGAGTGACTAGTTCTAGTCAGTACATTCCCCCCCACCTCCTGGTAGTTTTGCAGTGGAGGTAAATGGCGGGTAGTTTTCCTGCTGAAAACTAGACAGCTATTTCTCTCTGTCTCAGGAAACAGTTGAGTGTATTAAAGAGTACATAATGCTGCCCTGTCTCTTGCTACTAGTCATAACAATCTGATTTGTGGGTTACTTGGTTATAAAGTATATGCAGTACAGCCAAGGTGAGATTTTGGTAAAACAGAAATCATGTACAAATGTGACTAGAAGACCTTCCTAGCTCTGGTAGTGGCAGAGCTCTGTGGACAGCAGCACAGCAAAGCTGTATCCTGGTGCTTGCTTTTGCACAAGCGAGTCTGAATGAGGACACCTGGAATCAGCTCTCTAACAGTGAGAATGAGATGCCACTTGTGATGGAAGTGAAAGCATGCTTACCTTACTAAATGATCAGCAGCATGGGGCTGATGCCAGGAGTAAACCACTGAGTTACTGCAGAGTGCGGTGTTACTGTGATTTATGTAGGCAAACACCAAGAGGCAGGTGAATCGGAGAAAGAAGCCAGACTGAAGTAGTGCTAGGTATCTTTTGCAGTACAGATACTGAAAACAGTATATTGCCAAATACTGTACGCTGGTAGACATCGCCGGTGGTGTTTTTAGGGGCTTGTGTGTTAGGACAGGCATAAGAAGGGGGACAAGGATCTTTCTGCATGGCCTTTTATCCCATGGATAAGGGGTCACAGCAGAAGGGTGACACTTCGTGTAGAAATCATAGAACCATAGAATGGTTTGGGTTGGAAAGGATCTTAAGATCATCCAGTTCCAACCATCTGCCAAGGGCAGGGATGCCTCACACTAGACCATGTGCCCCAAGGCTCTGTCCATCCTGGCCTTGAACACTGCCAGAGATGGAGCCGTTGTCTTTACCTCATGGTGTGGTTCACAGTCCCCCTGCCTCTGCACAGCCAGTTACTCAGCTCTGATGCTTTCATGGGTAGCTGGAGGAGGGATGTAGCACATTTCTTGCCACTTTCATTATCCATTCCTTAGGGGTCATGAGCCTAGCACCGCTGTGCTCCGGACGTTTGAGGGATTTGAGAGCTACATCAAATTACAGCATTTGGGAGAAGGCTCAAGATCAGTTTCGTGGCTGCTAAATAGTACCCACACCCAATAATTTTGGGATCATTTGTGCTTCGTACCTTTAAAATTGTGTGTTCCTATGGTATCAGTATACTGTCCATCATGAGAATGCAGTGTTGCAAAAAAAGGGCTTTGGTATTGTGGTTACTGTCTGCACAAGTCCTGTAAAAGGGCTCACGTGTCTGGAAAACTGACTTCCATCCAATAGCTAATAAGGATTTGGAAACAGAATCACAGAATGGTTTGGGCTGGAAGGGACCTTAAAGCTCATCCAGTTCCAACCCTCTGCCGCAGGCAGGACACCTCACACTAGGCCAGGTTGCTCTAAGCCCTGTCCAACCTGGCCTTGAACACTGCCAGGGATGGGGCAGCCACAGCTTCTCTGGGCACCCTGTGCCAGGGCCTCACCACCCTCGCAGGGAAGATTTTTTTTCCTAATATCTGGTCTAAATCTCCCCTCTGTCAGTTTAAAGCCATTCCTCCTTGTCCTGTCACTATATGCCCTTGTAAAAAGTCCCTCTCCAGCTTTCTTGTAGGCCCTTAAGGTACTGGAAGACTGTAAGTTCTCCTCAGAGCCTTCTCTAAGCTGACAAAATACTTGTCAGTTTATTAATGGGTTTGTAACACGAGGGAAATACTGATTCCTTCTTGAAGCGATAAATTATTGTTCATTTATCTATGCATTTACCTCTTCAACAAGCCCCAGGTTTTGGGGGAGTTTACAAGTTCCCCACAGCCACTTTTATCCCTGATACATGGTTTTTATAGAACGGTTTGGGTTGCAAAGGACCTTAAGATTATCTAGTTCCAGCCATTTGCCGTGGGCAGGACACCTCACCCTAGACTATGTTGCCCAAGAGTCTGCCCAGCCTGGCTTTGAACACTGCCAGGAATGGAGCATTTGCCACTGCTCTGGGCAGCCTGTTCCAGTGCCTCATCACCCTCACAGTAAAGGACTTCTTCCCTATATCCAGTCTGAACTTCCCCTGTTCAAGTTTGAACCTATTATCCCTTGTCGTATCACTACAACCCCTGATTTCCTAAATAAGCTATCCTCTTAGTGGCCAGTTGTTTGAGATGCTGAAACAACTTGTGCTGAGCTTGTGTAGATGAGTGATCTCTCAGAGGGTTAATGACTCAATCTATAATAAAGGCTCGTGGTTTTCCTTTCTTCTCCATGACTTTCCCATCACACCATGTGTAGTGCTGGCAATGTAGTTTAATTACATAGGTTTTTCAGGTAGTCATGCAACCAGTGTTAAAATAACTGCTCATTTGTGCAGAATTTAGGAAAAATAGTGTAATGATCTGAAGAGGAGAGGGTTTACATTGTATAATTGCTGATCTGGATCCTAGAATTTTGAAATATGCCCCTTTGTGCCCACACGTTAGTAAAATCAGTAGCTATGGAACATCCCTGTGGTTACTTGTAACCTTTATTTTCAAAAATCAGCTGTTAGGAATTCATTATAAAAGAATCTGAAAACACTTTTACAAATGTAATGTGCTTGTGTGTGTTCCTGTTTAAATTTTAAGATCAGCTGTTGAGAAGTTGTATTTAAACTGCCTTGCTTCATGTTGGTACTGAAAATACACATCAGGGCATTTGTAACGGCCTGTACTGAATTGTAGTCATGCTTCACCTCTTCTGTTCAGTTATGATATTTTCATATGAGGGGAGGCAGTAAGTAGTTGCTTGATTTTTAGACTTGAACTCAACTTTAATTATTGAAAAGGAGAAAAGCTTTTGCCCTTCTTTTCCCATGCTTCAAAGCCTATTTCCACATTACAAATACAATCTCCCAGCGTTCCTTTTAAGTGTTCCATACTGCTTGCAGAGCAGTTAGAGGAGGGTATTTAGGTTCTCTTCATGGCAAATCTCTGTACGTGCTTCCTTGCGCTAGTTGAAGAAGGCAGGGCCTACGGGAAGGATTCCTGACAGCCAGAGCACGCAGAGCTGTGGTTCAGGGCGAGGGGAGCTGTCCATCACCAGGCCCTGCAGCCGCTGGAACTCATCTGGTTTCTAGCATGAAAGCATCAGGATCCTTATCATGCCAAACTCAGTGGACTTAAGGTTATTTTAATATTGATTTAGTTTTACTATTTTTTAAATTCAGTTTTACATGGACTTCATGAATATTGCTTCTTGAAAGTGTTACAAAACACATAAATACGCTTTTTCCTGACTCTTAGTTACTAATGAGCTTCCTGCTACCATACTATTAAATGCCTCAGAATCTAGCACACAGTTATTTTTACTGCACATCTGTGGTGCACATATTTTACAGGTATTTTTTAGGCCAGAAAAGGCCATTATAATCATCTTATGTTCTTCATTAAGCATGCTAGGACACTTCTGTTTGGAATTTCTGTGCATCAGTTCCATGCTTCCTTTTTACCTATGGTTTTCTCTTTAAAAATAAATTAAAGCTTGGTTTAAAGACTTTTTTAATAGTAAGGAGTTCAACATTACCTTTCTTGGTATAGTTACATCAGATCTGTTAAACTTTGCATTCATTGCTAACCTGGACTTACCCCATGCCATTTTCTGACAAATAGAACTAGTTATGCCTTTCCTTCTGAAGAAAGGCTGCAAAGCTATTTTACTGTCTGAATTATCTTCCTGTGTAGATACTTGTGATCAGTGCAGATCTTGACCTTCTTTGGGAAGAACAAGATTGAAGAGTCTTGCCTTTATCACAGTAAGGCATGTCTTTAGTTCTAGTTCTGAAAACTTCCCTGATTTTTCAAAAGTAGTCAAGTGTGAACACTGCAGTTCAAGTAATGAATTCCCAAACATATGCAAAGCAATACTCAGTAGGATGCTAAAGGCAAGACTAAGCCAATCGTACAGTTTGCATTTGAATAGTATGTTAGTGTAGGCTACTGAAAGCAGGTCTGCTAATTCCTGAGCCACTGCTGGATGTACTTCCTCCGTAGGCTGAGGTTCTTTTTACTCTCAGTATTAAGAAAGTCACCTCCATGATCCTCTGAACCTGGAGAAGCTTGGAAGTAGATTTTGGTTGTAATACCTTAAGTGATGCATAGGCCTTAGTTCTTCCTTTCCACCCATTTGTTTTTGGTGTTTGATGTTTGCAGAAATGAAGTCTGTGTCATTGTCATAATAGGTGTTTACATTCAAGCATATATTATGTACATTCAAATGTGCATATTCTACTTTAATCTCTGTAATTGAAATGCTGGTTAAAAAGACTGCCTATGATAATACATTAGTTATTCAGAACAGTTGTGTACAAAATTACTGGCATTTAATGTGAGGCTGGAACACTATAAATTAATAAATATTTAAACTAAAATTTTGGATAGTTTTAATAAACTTAATCTATCCTGAATCACTTTTGCAGTTTTTATAGTTTCTGAAATACAGTTTATATAGTTTTACATAGTTTCTGAAATCTGTATTAAATACTGATAATTTTTTATTGTAACACATTATTGCTTAGAAGATCATCCTAGTTTCTGGGTTGATGGCCCTGGTAGTATATGCTAAATGGAAAAAGCAAGGAGATGTACCATATTCCATGAAGTTTGGTGCTGATGTATGTAGCCCCTAAAATCAGTATAGAAGAGTTTGACAAGAAACCCCACGTATCATTGTTGCCTCCAAGGTAAAATTGAGCTTATAGATATTTACACTGTCATTTTATATCCTACATATATTCTGAGATGTTAAGCTACAGAACTGTTGGTGTTAGTAATTTTCTGTGGCTTGTTATGTTAAAATAGTTTAGTTTAACTTTGAACTTGCCTAGATCAGAAATTCCTTATTTGGACACTTGTATTCCTAAATAAAAATGCCTTTTTCCGGTTACATTACTTTAGTTGCAGGTTAAATCAAAACAAATGAGCAGCCTTATTCTAGCATGCATCTGTTGAAGATTAACTATCCCATGTGGAAAACTCCTTGGCAACTAATGCTGTTTGGGAGTGGTGGTCTTATAAAGCTAGTAGGTAGTGCAGTAACATTGTGCCGACCATCACTTCTCTACCTGTTGTTTCTGATGTCAGTCAACTAATGCCCTGCTCTGCTGATCCACCATCATTTCACAGGTGAAGCATCTGAGTCTGGTGGTTGACAAAGGATCTCAGGCACTTCAGCTATGAGATTGACACATAAAAGCTTTGTTGCCTATTGCTGAGTTGTTTTGTTTTCCGCTGTAGACATACTCACCCTTGACTGAATGGATTGTTCTTGATTGATAGAGGAAAATGATTGTATGTTCATAAGTGCTTGAGATCTTTCAGAATAGCGGTCCATGCTGAAAAGCTAGTATCTCATCCATTTGATGATCCTAATGGCCCTGCTTCTGCCTCTCCATCCCAAATGGCACGCCCTTTCACCGATTTGCTATGTTAAACAAAAGTGCTAGCATCTGAAGCTGTTTTGTAGATGTGAAACTAAAGGGGGAGGGGGAACCCACAAAACATGAATATGCTTTCAAGAGTCATTGGGTAATAAACATATAATTCTGTATTTAGTGCCATGGAGGGAGCACTGGGTTCACTCATTCTGCCCTGAAAGATTCAATGTTAAATTCTACGTTCTGCCTAAGAATAAACTAAGAATGGGTAGACTCTGCATAGGTTGTATGGTTTGAAATAACTTATGATTTATGTGGAATTTTTGATGCATTGCAGGTTCTTCAGCGAAAGCACTTGTGAGCTTGAAAGGTAAGAAATGAATGTGCTGTTTAATTGTACCCAGTCTGACTTTCAGGTGTATTTAGTGTCTTGCTTCAAAAAGTTCAAGAAAATAACACTGAGGAAGGTTTGGGTTTTGGTTTTTTTTTTTTTGAAATGTGATTGATTTTTATTGTCTATAGTTGTTAGTTCTATAAGCTAATAATTCTTGGTGGTTGAAACTACATATGTTGTGGTGTATTTAGACACTGCTTTTCTGAGTGGAATTCCTGAAATGTGTTTTTTCTTCGTAAGTGCTGCCTAGGCATCAGGTTTGATGAGAAGATTGAGGTAATCTTTCCTCTCCTGAGGATGAGATGGGAGGGTTCTTAGTGACACTAAGTACATGTGATGGAATTTACAGCAGGAAGGAATTTCAGTTTTGTTTTCCGTCAGGAAGTTATGGGCTAAAGAAAAAATCTGTTTCTTATATCTTTTTATTTGAAATTGTCTATATGAACATTTGTACAAATTTTGAGGACTTAGAATCTGCCCAACAAGGTTCTTTATCTATTACAAGACTTCTATTACACAAAGACAATGGGTGTGTTGAATATGTAACTAATATAGGTTTATTTCAGTAAAATTTGATTTACTTGTTGGTGTGCACCTACTTAAATCGGTTTTAGAACCAGAAGAAGGTCGAGTCTTGTAGAGCTTTACCCTCTCCAGGTTTCAGTTAGAGACGCTATACGGCTGTCTATAGATGTGTGTCAGCCTGGCACTGGAAGTAAGTGATACCAGCAAAGGAGGCTTCAGAGAATCTTGAGATGCTGCCAGGAGGAACAAAATGTTTTGTTCATGTTTCTCCTTGTACTTAAAATCTCTTCCAGTTAGTGTTCAGAATGATTTCATAAAAACACTGAAATCTAAAATCCATCTGTGGTTGAATTCAAAGAAGATGTTGCAGGTAACAGAAATGCATTGATGATGATGCTATACTAGTTTTTGGATAGTAGTTATGTTAAAGCATACATATATTTATATTAAAGACATGATTTCTTCACAACAGAGGGAAGTTTATCCAGTTCTTGGAATGAAAAGTACAATTCTCTGCAGAAAACACCAATTTGGAAAAGCAAGAATGCTGGTTCTGCAGCAGAAATGGTAAGAAGCAATAAAAAGACAACTTCAAGATTGGTAAAATACCTTTGAGTGAGTCAAATTTAAGGAGTAAAAAATTTGGCCGAGATTGTTTCATAATTTCTATATGTTAAACTATGTCCTTCCCAAGCAGTCTGTGCAGTTTGAGTATGAGCTGAAAACATGCTTTGTAAATGAATGATCAAATTACATTGCTGACTTTATTGAAGATGTCTCAAGGTCATCTGCTTTCTTTTTTGTAATGCAAGTGCTGTGTGAAATGTTTGTACTGTGTCTACAACCTTGAACTTAGGAATCACTAATTCTGATTAACCATTTGTTTTATCTCATTAAATACCTCACTTCTAATTATGGCTGAAAAGTGACTTGGAAAGGAAAGGAAGGGAAAATGTCATAATGTGCTTCCATCATTGTGCCTTCTGGGGGGCAGATTTTCATATAAACAAAGGAATGTCAATGAAATGTCTTTTAGGGGTACCACAGGAGACCTTAGGTTAAAGAATAAGCTTGGGTAGAGGAATGAAAGGTGATGAGCCCACAGCCTCCAAGGGCATGTGTCTGGTGGTTGGGTTGACCATTTCCCTTTCTCTTTTTGAAGTACTCCATTGTTGTTTCTTTTTCCCTTGTATCACATTCAAGCTTTTCTTGACTGTTCGCAGCCTCCTCTACCTTTCCAAATCATGTGATTTTTGGTTTGGTTTTGCCATCAGTTATAATGCACCCAAAGCCTTGTTTACATCTGTAATGCCATGTGCTCTTTATACTACACCCTGGAGGGTACATGAAATACCGTCTCAATTGCTAGGTAGATCTTCCTCCCATACTCCTCCGGTGTTGCCGTCTTCTACAGCAATTGCAAGCAGTTTGCTAGCTATCATCTGCTTTTTGTTCAAATCATTATCTTTGTGAACCCTTTGTTTATTGGAAGGGAAACATTATGTTTGAAAACTGTTGCGCTTGCCTACTCTGCACAGTCAAAACACCAGAGCAGCATCCAGTAGTACATTAAGCTGTGTGACTAATAGCTGTCGTATGTAGTTTGTTGTGTCACCTTCTCCCTGTAGACAAACAAAGAGAAAGGTATTTATTTTGCTAGGGTTGATGCAGATATATATATACATGCATGTTGCTATGTGTTCATGCTAGAGGACATAAGAGGATTAGAGCTTTGTGATGGCCCTTAGCCTGCTGCAGAGGTTTATGTCACGGTTTTCAGCTCTTCCCCAGGAATGCTCATCTTCTCACAGAAACAAGCCTTACTCGTATCTTAGAAGATCACATATGCTGAAGAATCAAAGTCAGTAGGCATAACATTTGTGTGAAAACTCCTGTCAATCTTTAGTATGCTGGCTGTAGGTATTAAAAATAAGGAGCTGAACTTTGAATGCGGCTCAGTATTCTGTAGAAAGCTGGAAGAAGGGTCAGAGCATAGTCTCACGTCTTAGCAGCGGCCCATGTTGCTGAGATGTGATGTAGTCATTTGTACTTGTTTGAGTTCCCTGAACACTACAAGTTTTGCAGATCTGTTGTACTCTTGGTTGAAAAATCTTCCCAAAAATGCCTGACCTATTTAGCTCACGAGGATGATACCTCTTTGCCATGCTTGTTATTTTATTCTCGTGTGAGGCAGTGGCAATCCAGACTGATGAAACACTCTCATCAGTTTGGGTAGTTCCTTGGAATAGAATTTGGCAGCTTCTGTTGAGTGTTGTAAAATAGCTCTCTTGATCCAGATCATAGCCTTAGCATAAGGTTGAAGGAACTCTTAAGTTTTGTTTAGATTGGTTTTGCATTTGTGTTCCTGTGTTGCTTTTCGTCTTGTGTAATCTCATAAAAGCAAGAAGAACTACGTAGACGTTTAGGAGAAAAATACTGTTCTGGAACCAGCATCTGAAATGTCAAGACTAAAATAAAATTGTTGAACCTGGCTCTTCATCCTGTGGGCAGAACTCTGTGATGAGCAAGTCCCAGAGTTCTGCACTGGAAGAGTTTTTATTGTTGGAACAGTATTTATTGTTTTCTTGCTCAGAAGTTAGAATAGTTTTGACCTCTTTTAGGGTGATGGTTTGTCAGGGATGGTAGAGATGTTATAAAAAAACCCATGAAGACATTGTGATTGAAATTTAAGATTGTTCTTAAGGTTAGTGAATTGGGAGATACAAAGAAAAGAACTTGATTTATGTAGGTGAAGAGAGAAAAACAGCATCCATAACAATATGATAAACGAATTACTCTGTTAATATGATGTGGGCACCATTTAGGTACCTTCCTCTGTTCAGTGTACGTCTCTTTCCTGGTTTGTAACATCTACAAGGAATGGATATTTTCTTTTGTGTGCTGAATGTGCTTAGGTGTCTAGTGCATACATAGCAGTACTGTTGCTGAAATAGACTTATGTGGCTATATTTATAAAATACATATAGTTTAGAATAAGAAGGGTGCATTTCCCTGGAAAGCTCCAGCTGTTCTCATGGCATAGGACAGATTTTTTTGCTACCACTGATGAATTTAATAGAGAATATCTCTTTTCAAATAGATACTGTAATCAGTCACAGACTTATTAAACATCTTTCTTAAGGATAGATGCTTGTTAGTGAAATTTATTTTACTTTTGTGATTTATTTTTTTTCTGACTCTTACTAAATCTTGTATTTGTCATCAGTATTCTTCACATTGTGTAGCAGATGACATGCCGAGATCAATTTGTAGTGTTTTCACCATCTGTACTGAAAGAAGTGAAATCTGCATTTATTCTGCCTTTACTCATCACCTTTGTAAATAGTTAGGAGTACAAGGAACGCTACAGGGTGCAGTACTGCGAAGGAGACATATTTCAGCTGTGGCTGGCTCCTGTGTTGGGCCACAAAGTCTTCCTGGAAGGAAAAGCTTACTAAAGCAGCTTTTACTCTTTCATCCTCGTTGAAATACAAGTGTTTTGTCATAGGTTAAAATGTTGAGGAATAACTAAATGGAAATGTTTTTTTTCATGACACACATTTGCAATATGGTTTCTTGCATTCAGTCAGCCTTCTAATTCTATTTGAGCCATAGTCAATTAGCACACAAGTCAATTTTACTTAGCATAAATTCTAAATTCTTCTCTCTTCTGATATTTTTACATAACTTATTCAAGCTTTAGTTTCTTCAGACTTCATCTTGGCAGTTTGCAGTGTAGGCACTTCCAATGAGTTAAAAAACAACAAACCCACAACACTTTATTAGACTTTAAACAAATCCTTTCCAAAAAATTATATCCAGCTAATGTTTTTTACTGAGAACATACCAGAGCAAATACGTTGTTTGAATAAGTGCTTTTTTTGACCCATAATTTGGAACAAACTGTTTAACAGATGTGCTTATAATCAAAGCAAGCTCAGATACACAAGTGTTTAGACACCTAACTCCTCTGGAAACAAGTGGGAGTTAGGTTCTAAATACTTCCATGGAACTGGGCCAGCAGTATAGTAATGGGTTATAGTTAGCACTGGAAAGCTTGGAATCTTACATTCCTTCTTCTCTCAGCCCTTAGATCTTCAACTGCTAGGAGGGACTATTTATTGTGTACCATGTGCCTTAAAACCAGTAGGTGGCAAGAGAAAAGGCATTCAATTTCTCTCACTGTGAATTCTGTGCATGAACAGAGAAATTAGATTACTTTTCTTGTAATTCATTCTTAATTTTGATACATGCAGCCCTTCAGAAACTCAAAATGGAGTCAACTCTTCTGTGAAGATGGCAGGCAAATAAACATAAGGTCACCCAAAAGAAATCAGAACTTCGTGATGGTTCTAGAGAGATCTACATGCATACGGATATTTTTACCACACAGGGCAACAAGCCTATCTGTGTTAGTTGAAAATCAGAATATATTTGCTTCTCAAGTTGCATTATCAGTTTATGAATATTCTTGTGAGGAAAGATGTTGCTAGGAGTAAGCCACAATTCAAAACAGATTTATACTTTTCTTCACACAAGTGTGTTCCTCAGTTTATGAGAGTATCTGTTCTTTTTGATCCTGGACATAAGCATACGGTGCTAAGGATTCCAGACTAATTGCCAATCTTGATCCCACAAAGAGTTGTTTCCTGTAGTCTGCATAAACTTACTCATCTTCAGTTAAAAACTGTCTACTTCTTTTGCACTGAGTATATCATTTAGGAGGCTGCTGTGGAACGAATATATTTCAACAGTTAGGAACTTGCTATAGATTTATAGCCTAAATGGATTCATGGTCATCTATTACCTTATTGATCCTCTAATGATGTCTTCCAATTCAAACAGCTTTTTTTTTCTACTTTCCCACTTGACTGTCTGCTTTTTTCATGCTGTATCAAGGATAGCTGTTATTTTTCTCAGCCTTCGGTTGCTATGTTAGACAGGGCAACATCTCTTAGTCCCAAAGAATTGGCTCTCTAGTACCTTTGTCTTCCAGATCACTTCTCTGTACCTTCACGTTATAACCCTGAATTTGACACACTTTAAAAATCCTATTTGAATACTGGTCTTATTTGTATTCTGAACTGTACCTTGCAGCATCAAATAGGGAAGACTTAGAGATGAGGGCCATGGTATTTCTCTCTATTCATTATTTCTTAATGGTAGAAAGGGCTGGATAACGCTGTATGCCTGTTGGTTTGTACTTAAATGTCTGGTTCATGAGGTCCAGCAGTTGCTAGATAAATGTGTGAGGGGCTGCAGCTGCTGTAGCTCACAGATCTTGCTGTCCTGCTGGGCTTTGTCTCCTGGAGTTCCAGTGAGAGAATGGGGACCTGTATGTAGAATAGTGATTACACCCAGCAGGAGCCAGCAAGGGCCTGCCTTATGCTTTATCCCGTTATTGGTGCTTCTAAAGGTCAAAGTGCTTTTGAGCATGTGGGGAAGGTTAACAACTGATTATGGTGTTGGGGCTCAGTTAAACTAATATTCTCGAAAGCTGTGATTTTGTTGCAAGTAAGTTTTTCTGTCTGTCATTAAGACAGCCAACCCTGGAACAAAAGCATGGAATTGGTTTTATACACTCTTGTTTATACACATGTCTATGTATTATGCATGTAACCCAAGACAGTGTCTTTTCTGCAATTTATAAAATAGCTTTCAAATGAAGTCAAAACTTGCTTATGTCCATGGTAGTTTCCTTTGCAGATTTCTGTGAATCAGGCACTGCTCAAAGCTTTGGCTATGTCACATTTCTGTGCTAGCTTTACCCTCAGGTTAAGAAGAGCTAGCAAGAGTAAAAGCGCTACTGCAAATGAGGCAGTTGGTGTTGCTGGTATCTGAGCCACATCATCACATATGTTATTAGAGACCATGTTCAGCGGTGCCTCAAACTTCGGAAGCCTGTGTGTACTTTAGTGCCATGCTGCTGTTACCAATAATGCAGTTCCAGTGTTGGAAAATGTTTGTGTTAGAAGAGATATCTGTATGGAGATAATTTGCTGTATTGATCCTCCTAAAGTTTGCATCTGTTCAGTTGATGCGCTGCTGATATAATGCAGTAAGGATTATTGCAGATCTGCAACAAAACATTGTCATGAAACAGTATGTGTGATGAAAATATAACAGTTCTTAATGTGCAAACTTTTGTCAAGAGAATCTAGTGTAATCATTTGAATATTTAACAATGTTAGACTGCGTTTAACTGTTTCCTTTATCTTACTATATAGAAGTTTAATACAACAATGCCAACACCGGACAAGAAAGCATCACAGAAGATTGGTTTACGGCTTCGTAACCTGCTCAAACTTCCCAAAGCTCACAAGTGGTGCATATACGAATGGTTCTATTCAAATATAGATAAGTATGTTTGTTTTATATCATTCTCTCTTAATAGTATAGAATCAAGTAATTTTCTGACCTTCAGCTGCAAATTTCCATATAGTAGTTAGATACTCCAAAGTTTATTCTTAAAGCATTAGTTATTGAAAATTGTCATTGTTTTGTTATTTGGGATTTTTGTTTCTTTTGTTGTTGTTTTAATAATGAGCAACCTCCTTGGATAGTCTTCTATGGAGAGCCATCCTTCATGGAAATAATCTTCTTTTTATCACCTCTGCCTCTACCAGATACAAGATTTTATTCATAATGTTTTTAGCCTCTTAGGCATGAAGGTACCAGAACACTTGGACTTTTTTCAACCCTTGGATCAATGTTATACACGGGGGATGGGAAGGAGACTGCTGCTTCATAAGGTGCTGCTTCCCTAAAAGATGTAAACATTGATTTTGAATACTTTTTTCTTCATCATCCTTTTTTTGTTGTGATCTCTAACAGAGTTTGGTTCGTGACTGTTCAGGTTTTGTCTACATATTGGCATCCTTCTTGGATTTCCTACTCTGTCTCTTAGACTGTTTCTGCAATTTGTCCCTCAGAGTCTTTGGCACTTGTTCTCTTTAACACCACTAGCAAAATGGTGCCAATTATTTAAAAGATCCATTTTATTTTAGTCCCTAGCCATGAAAACCTAAAAATTCTAAAATGTAAAAATCTTTTTTGATGAATGGAATCTTAAAATCTACACCAATTGACTAACAGATGAAACACTAGTATGTAATATTTTAAAGAATAGCTTCAGAGTTATCAAGCATTCTTTTCTGGAATTCATTCATAGCAAAATAATTACTGTTTTTCCTTCCTATTTTAATCATGATTGCTGGGGCTGTTTTCCTTAGCTGAGAAGGCAGTCATAGCAACAGAAAAATGTTTCAGATATGTTCACCACAAGTAAAAAAATTACCTGTCCATTTTAGTTACTTTTAAATTCATCATTTAATTCCTTTGAAAGAGGAATTTGTCTTTCACATGCTCCTTATTTGAGCAAAACACAACCTCTCCGCTCCTCCCCCCCCCCAAAAAATAAAACCAAATAACCCAAACCCTATTTATTCCTAGTACTAATTTTAATATGTGACATGTATAATTATGATTTTTACAACAATCCAAGAACTTTTGAGACATTTACTCTCCAATAATTGTCTGTGGAACTTTAAGTCTGTCAGTAGATTAGAATTGAGTTTAGCAGCCAATTGTGAAAACCTCTTTGAAATTTACTCATGTATGCTTTAATGCTAAGTAAGATATAATCATGTTAAGATATTAGAATATAGTTTACTGAGAAACTACATATCTTTGGAAGAAAAACTTTGTATGTTGTTCTGAGTGGTATATGATCTAGATTTAACAAGAAAAAGTTTAAAGCATAGAGCTGTCAACTGAAAAATATGGCTCGCTGTACAAGTCTCAGAATATTTTAATCAAATTGTCTCATCCAAAATTGAAATCCTCAATTTAAATGCCATGTCTGCTATTAAGTTTTTAAAATGTTTTAATCTCTATGGCTGTCATTTGTGGTTATTAGATTATTGAAGCTGTTTCAGCTGGATTCTTTCTGTGCTGCTGCAGAGGACAATCCTGTTGACTTCTGACACACACAGACTTCTAAAGAGCTAGTTACCCTACAGTGATCGTAGACTCGGAACAAGATGCAGCTGTAGCTTGCTTATACCATTTCCCAGAGCTTCCAGTCTTGTGGATGCTGTGGATTTACATTTTCCCTGCTTAGGGACAGATGATAGTAAAAACAATCAAATACTGATTCTCTTTCCCAAACCAGTTGTTATTTACACAGGTATCTTACATTAGCAACAGTAAAACTCTTTTATGCACCTCCCCGTCTGTTTCCTGAGCCTCGCTGATCATTCTTTGTGGTTTCCTTTTCACTTCAAGCCACAGCTGCAGATCCTCCTACTGCTGAGAGAAAATATTCTCTTCCATTCTTTCCTGGGTCTCCATGTGTCCATGCACCTTTCCTCTCTACTGCCAACCCACATACTCACTTGAAAGCAGTGTGGCTTCCAAGATCCTCTTTGTTCTGTGCTTGAGAATATTCCCCTCTAAACTCCAGCACCCTGCAGAGAGTGGAGAAAAGTGGCTTTATCTAGGATGCAGTTATTCTTTTGTTCTCACTGGGTGAGATTTATTTCAGTTGCACATAGTCTTTAATGATTAACCTGCTATTAAGTGGGTATAGCCATTGCTGCTCCCTTGTCTGTTCAGCCCAAGAAGGATGTGGTACTACAAAGTAAAAGGCAGTCATAAAACAGATGGATACAGACAGATCATAGCATCAAAGAGAAATTCATAACTTGTGTAGGTAGGTTATCTGAACTGTCACTTCTGTAATATTGATCCTCTGCTTCATCATGGAGTCATGGTATGATACAATAAAAGTCCTACGTGTGTAGCTGTGGAGAATGCCAACTTGGCTCAGTTTCCTGTATTTTGGAACCCTCTGTTGAGAATCAGGGTTATAATTGAATGAATTTATGAAAAAGGTACTGTCTGTCTCAGTATCACTGAGAAATCTGAGTGTCATATATTCCAGTATGTCTCTTCCTCTGTTCTCAACACCTCACCGCAACTTTATGGTTTCCTTCAGTGTGTTGCAGTATCCTCATGGCACTGCACTGCCTTTGCTGAAGTTTCATTTGGTGCCTTTGTATACATTCCAAAACAGGAAGAATACATGTCTCCCCATAGTAAGAAGAGAGGAACATATTTAAACATGACTGATAGTAAGGCTCAAGTAGAATAATACTCCTGGAAACTTTGTCTTTGTTTTCAGCTGAATTTATTTCAGGTTAAATTTGTCCTTTGGAGTGTCTTGTTTATACAACTAATTTATACATTTTGTTTTCAATGTATTTCTTATAATGGATGGGGTTTGGAATCTCATGACAAAAGTTTATTAAGTGTAGTTAACAGAGGACAATTATGTTTCAACAGACCTCTATTTGAAGGCGATAATGACTTCTGTGTCTGCCTGAAAGAATCTTTTCCAAATTTGAAAACCAGAAAACTGACAAGAGTAGAATGGGGGAAAATCAGACGATTAATGGGAAAACCACGGAGGTAATTTCTTTCTTTCTTCTTTTCAGCTAATAACTACATGTAGTTTTCATGTCACTGGAATTGTTCCTTTTAAAATACTTTTGCATCCAGGCAGTAAAGGAAAATAATAGCTCTCTGAGCACACACCCCACTCTCCCACATTCCCTCTGTTACATATATGCATGTGTCCAGTCCATGCAGTTCTCATGAGCTTGTACTTGAAAAGTTCTCTTACCAATCTGGATAACTAACTGTCCAAGCTAGGATATGTTGAAATTATTGTTGTATCTTCTAGGCTGCAGTGCTTCCTGACATAGAAGACAGGCCAATTTTTCAAGATTTTCCTTTTTCCTGGCTATAACTAGCTCTCCATGGGGAAAACAAGTGCACATTTTCATCTATTTTGTTATTTTTAATACCATTTTATGGATCATTGACTTTTCCTGGCTTGGCTGCCAAAACGGAGAGAGGAGATAGTCACCCGTGAAATATTTACATTGTATAGAATGAAGTCAGAATTTAATGCAGGGCATAATTTTTTCACTAATTTAAAATTCTCCAGTCTTAAACCTACTGACTTCAGTTCAGCCTTTTTACAGACCCTTAGCCTAATACAATTTAGCCTAAAGAAAAAAAGCCTTAGGGAGGATCTCATCTCTGTGTAGAAACACCTGAAGGTAAGGCATAGAGAAGATGAGGCCAGGCTTTTTTCAGCATTGTCTGGAGATAGGTCAAGGCAATGGGTAAGAGCTGAAAAGCAGGAGATTCAGTCTTTACATAAGAAAATACTTCTTTTTGCTAGGGTGACTGAGCACTGGCACAGGTTGCTCAGAGAGATGATAGGATCTCCATCCTTAGAGATACTTGAAGGGTGTCTGGACATGTCCTGGGCAGCGTCCTGCATGTGTCTCTGCTGGACGGGGTTGGAGCAGGGGACCTCCAGGGTCTCTCCCAAGCTCAACCATCCTAGCATTGTGTAAGATCAAGAGACAAATGTGTAAGTAGTGTTGCAGAAATAAGACTGGTTTGTTTATGAAAATACAGTAAAGCACTGAATTCATTTCATGGATCACTGTACAGTGTCAGATTATACTTTGATTGATGGAGGCTATTTCATCTCCTGTACTTATAAACAACTTTACAAAACTTAAAAATTGCCAGTCAAGGGAAAACAGCAGAGCCAGCTTTAAAATAGGTCCTTTTGGAAAAGCATTCATATCATTTGAGCTTAACTGAGATAGCTTTTCATTCCTTTTATCATCATGCTTCCCACTGAGAGGGAAATGGTGTATCTGGAGATTATATCATCACTTATTCATTTGACTTTTGCCAAAAGTGGGTACCAGTATGAAAGATCAGCTTGCCTCATTCAGCATTCTGTTGGACCAAAGATAAAACTGCTTGCTTTCTTTTTTGGGAGTGAGCTTGATTTGGAGTTTTTTATTAAGTTATTTTTTAAGAAGGCTGATTCATGCCTAAGGAACCACAGGTCTAAATAGGCAGAAGTTTGTTTTACCTGAATTCTGAAGTACAAATATTTGACTGGATATTGCCTCGTTTTGTTTGTTAACCAAAACTTTGAGTTCTTGCTTTTTATCAACATAAAATAAGCATCCCTGTTTGCGTTTCATTTCTTTAATCATCAAATATTGACAGTCTTTTTCAGTATGCCCATAGTGGTCTTTGGCCTTAACAGTTCTGACAGATTTTAAATTATTCCAAATCTTTTGAATAATTTGGAACCTTTTTCAAGGTAATTTTCATTTGCCTCTAGAGCAAAGTTGGTTTTATACATTATTATTCTGTTAGAAATTTCTTCTGTCTGTCCTCATCATATGCCAGTAAACTAAATATCATGTCAATACTGCTATGTTCCCATGAAGCAATTAAAACTAAGACATTTTGCATCCACAGTGTTGATGGCGGAGGATGGTAGTGTCTGTGTGAGAGCTGTGCACATGGTCATCGTCTCTTTCTTCTTTTAATTTGTTTTAAATATATTGTAATATTTTCTTATGTCTGCTGCTACACTAAGTGTCCTATCACACCATCAACAGTGGGGTTGATTGGCACAACAGTATTCTTCATGGGAGCCTGCAAAGCTTGTAAGATTCCGCTAGACTGTGGGGAAAGATATGCTCCAAGAAAAGGAAGAGGTAATAGTTAGTCTTGTGTACTCTGTATAAACTTCACTGGGGTTGTGAAATAGAAATGGATATGAAATTAAGTTCAGATATGTTTGTCCTGCCACTATATGATGGTGATGACTCCTCTGTTCAAGTTCTCATTACTGAGGTAGAAACCGAAAAGAAAGAGGTTACAATGTGATCTGTACCATAGTTTTAATCTTCTTTTTTTTTTTCATAGGAATGGCGTGAAAATGGGATAACCTTTATTAAATGCATATGGGGGATGTGGGGTTGGAGATTTCCTTTAACAGAAGCCAAGAAATACATTGAAAGTACTTTCTACATCCATGATCTACAGCATTGGGAACAGAGACTTTTTAAGAATGTCTGAGCTAGCAGTAAAATAGTAGTTGGTATTGTAGGGAGCTTGTAAGGTCGGTGATTAGTATAGCAGCGTTTGAATTTGTATTTCTAAGAGCATGGGTCAAAGAACATCAGGCGATAACGGATGTTCCTGATGCAAGAACCTGGACATGATTAGAAGAACTAATATTAAAGTCTATATTGCTTTGGGGTTTTTTCCCCCTTCCCCCCCTTTTTTTTTATCTTGCTGTAATTAGTTACTCCAGTCAATGGAATTGGAATGCTGTGACCTGCATTTTGCTACTTCATATTCCTAGCCCATGACGAGCATTATTTCATACTTGTAAATATGAAGCAAATGGCATCTTTAAATGAGACTATGCAAATAAGTTTTGCATAAGTTTCCCAACCACCATCACTCTCTCTCTGCGATATCCCTTTCCAGATACGTTCTTAATTGAGGATCATTAGGCAATACCCAACTGCAGGTGAACACATTGTGCTCTTCAGTGGTAAACTGGTGAGCGGGACGTGCACCTACAGTTGCTACCACGCACTTTTCTAGACTATACAAAGACTAGTGATGACTTTTACCGTGAGAGATTGGAAAGCCTAGTAAAGGAACCTTCAGTGCAGTGTATTAGTGCACATACCTGACAGAAGTACATCACAGCTTCAGTTTGTTCCTGTTCATTCTTTTTTTTCTTATTTTTAATGTCTTGCTTAGGACTAAGATCTCACTGTGTTAATTGTCCATATATCTTCGGAGCCATATATAAGATAAAAAGCAAATGATGTATGCACATAGGCAAATGAGTGTGAGACTGCTGGTCAGTTGGAAAGAAAGTAGTCTCGGTGTCCTGGCAGTTTAGTGCTTATGACTTCCTATGCACATTGCAAGGAAGAGAAATTTTGGAGAATAGTGAAGTGGCTTTGTGGAACTCTCCAAGTGAGGTGCATACAGAAGAAAATGTAAGAATGTTTCTTTTGGCATATAATGAGAGGAGTGGGAGCAGATGTGGAGGTAGGAGCTGACTGCTCAGTACTAAGTGATAAGTAACTAAAGAAGATCTTGAAGGGATTCAAAACAAAAAACAATTTGCAGTGTCAAAGGGGGAGCTTAGTAAAGGAGTTGTCAATATCTTCTAACATAACCCCATAAAATAGGATCAGTAATCAATATATAGCTGTGTGAGTTCCATGGCAAATGTTTAAATTGGATTTGACTGCAGTAAAGCAATTAACAAAGGAGTAAATTGTTTGATAAAGAACTGCTGCTGTGATTAAGCAGGCCTGCAATAGCATCTGCACTCCTAAATGACTTCTTCTGTTGACACAAGAATCATAAAACTTTTTTTTTTAATAAGTAATGAGAGATAGGGTTGAGTCCTTAATTTAATGTCGTTATGCTTTCAGTATCTCCTTCATGCATCATGCCCTTTCAGTAGGTTAAAAGTGAAAATGAATAAAACCAAGTAACAGTTTTGTGAGTAAGTCTTCCATCTTTTAGATTACATTTAAGACACACACGCACACCCCCAAAGTGATGGAGGGGACTGCTAGAGACTATCTGATTTTGTACAATAGCCCAAGTTCAGACAAGTTTGTACGTTTACTACGATCAATCTCAGAACAATTCATCTGCAGAAGAGAGATTTTTGTGGCCGAGTTGTACTCTGTACAGACATAAGAAGATGAGACGGAGAAATGCCCTTTTATGTTCTCAGTCTGGTGCCCTTTAATAGCTTAACTGAGATAATGAGCACACGTGAAAGGGATCTACTGTGTATCAGGAAGTGATGGCAGCCAGGGACCTCACAGTGAGTCCTCCTCACATGCACTGAACAGGTATTCAGAGTAGACTGAATGTGGGACCTGCTCTATTCTTGTTGTGACACCAGGTGAATCCCTATAAGCAGAAAAAGTCCTTAAAAGCTATATTCTTCTGATATTGTGTACTATATACTCCAGAATGCAACAGCTGGCATTCTGAAGTATTATTTTTAAATAAACTGTTATTTTAGGAGTGATTAATTCTGGGGAATAAGACTGCCTAAATCCATTCAATGAATTCCTTTCTCTTGAGCACTTCACCCCAAGCATTTTCATTTTCCCCTCCCTGATTTGTAAATAATGCCTGTTTACTTGATGTGTCTTCACATATGCATGCTTTCAGTGCTGAATTTAAGTATAGTTTTACTGAATTGTATTATAGGTGTTCCTCTGCATTCTTTGAGGAAGAGAGATCAGCGTTAAAACAGAAACGACAGAAAATAAGACTTTTGCAGCAGCGGAAAGTTGCAGACATTTCACAGTTCAAAGATCTTCCCGAAGAAATCCCATTACCACTCGTAATAGGAACAAAAGTTACAGGTAGTTTCTTCAAAACAAGTGAAACACCACCTAAATGTTTTGCAAAGATTTTAGTAAACCATAATATACTTAGTGCACATAGTTAACACATCACAATTTGCATGGGTTTATTGCTAACTCATTGAGAAGGTGCATGTGAGGATTAGCTTGTATTTTTAAAGCAGCGATACAGTTTTGAGGTACAAAGTTAGTATGAATAGTTTATCATTGCTGTGGTTCAAATTGTAGATTTATTCTTTTCAAGTATATCTATCTAATCATAGAGAGAGCTGTGCTTAATTGCAAAGAACTGAGTGTTGTCTGAGAGGTTAAGATCTAACCTAATTTACAGCTTAAGCTTTTATTTTTCCATAAATACAAAGATGTTGGTTTTGAAACAGATATACAATTGATACTATATATACAGCTGGGCTTGTATATTGAACATGGTATTGCCATACTGAAAAAAACTTACACAACTGAAGAAGGAATATTGTTAAAAACATTCAACAAGTTCTCATTCCACAAGTTTTGTCTGATCTTATAAAAACTTGAATTTTACCGTCCTATCTGTTTGTGATCCTGATGCTTTTCACTTAAGCATGGTATTTCCTACTCAAGCCATTACTGTTCATTGCTTTTTTCATTCTTCAGCAACGCTGCCTTTAATTCTTGCTGAAGAGCAGGCATGCACAACACTGCCTCTTCTCTCACTCCTAGAGCTGTATCCATGAGCTGTGTTCCTGATTGTCTTTTGCTCAATATGCAGCCATCAGTGAAAGTACTCAAAGAGAAATTGTATGCAAAATCATCTGGAAATTGAGTTTTGCCTGCAAAATTTGTCTGTCAAAAGGTGTTGGGTATTAAATAGCAGCTTGTGTAGCCGCAAGTGTAGTGCTAAGGATTAAATCTGGGCAATGCTTGACTTGGAAAAATAAATTTGACAAACATTTGGATAATATTTCTATTGCATACAATTCTTTTTCTGTGTTTATGTTTTTTCTCATTTAATGTGTGGCCTTTAAATATATCTATAAAGGGTTACTTCCAAAAGATGTATTAAGTCTTTTTCTCAGTGGTATCAGAAGATCATAACGTTTGGTTTGTTGTTCTTTTTTTCTTATCTAAAGCACGTTTGCGAGGTGTCCATGATGGATTATTCACTGGGCAGATAGATGCTGTAGACACCCTTAATGCTACCTACAGAGTCACCTTTGACAGGGCAGGTCTTGGAACACACACAATCCCAGATTATGAAGTTCTCGTAAGTATTAATGGCACGTTTTAAAATAGTATGAAATAAAATATAAAAATCTACAATGGTATGTTTTAATCAAAAAGAAGAAAATTCAAAATATATTTATTTTCATAAATAGAAACAGACATAATATGCATGGGGAATTCCAGGGAAATGAGCATCTGTTTATGATTTTATAGAACCCTCTATGATAAAAACATAATGTCTCAAATGGGAATAGTTTATTAGACCTACTATTGTAGGTTATTACAATAGCCTGAGTTTAATATTAAGAAATATAACAAGTAATGTAAGATCCCAAAGAAAATTCTGCTAGGGAATCCTGACAGGGTTCAAGAAAACCTGTCCCTTTGTGATTTGCCACAGTCTGGAAAGGCCTGTGGTAGTTGCAAGCAAGTATTATGAGTTAATTTAACCTCATTTTGAAACTTTCTATGGTAATGAGCAACACCCACCTGTGGGGATATTGCTCTGGTCAGACAATTTGGAGTTATAGGTCATAGGTGTTCCTACCAATTTACGAGCTCCAGGAACTGTTCCTTCCAAACAGTCTGACCTAGACTGCAAGATTTTCAGAGGACCTTTTGTTCTTTTGTATCTTGTATAGTCTTGAATCTGCTAAGAGCCCATAATTAGTCTAGTCTCACTCATGACCTAAGTTTGGGGCCTCTGCTGAACTCCATGATTCAGCCATGATTTGTCTGAAACTTGCCAATATAATTTTTGGATTAGAAGTATTTGGTATGATGCCATAACATTTTGAAAACTCCAGCAATGGAATACAATTTTAAAGCTCCTGCTAGCCCAAAGCATAACGTTAATCTTTTGACATTGCTGTGTTGGGTCATGGATGGGCTTGGGTAGTTCAGATTCCAGAAATAAATTACGTATTCCAAAAGAGGTGCAAAATTCTTGATAGCTGAAGTACATCCTTGTTTTTCGTATCTTAGAGTAACGAGCCTCATGAAACCATGCCAATTGCTGCCTTTGGACAGAAACAACGGCCTTCAAGGTTCTTTATGACCCCTCCCCGATTGCAATATACACCTTCACTCCAGTCTCCAATTACAGTAAGTTACTTTTTTCATGTAATATTAATCATTGAAGTAATTCCTGATACATGCTGAAGCTGTTACCTTCAACAGGTGTTGGGATGAATTTTCTGAGGTTATTCAGCAAGATCAAAAATTTAGCAAAACCTTCTAAAAATAAGCTATTAATTAAATGTTCTTTGTTTTGTGTAGGACAGTGATCCTTTATTAGGACAGTCTTCATGGAAAAACAAAATTTCAGGCACAGATAGTGAAACGCTAGGAGGTTTTCCAGTAGAATTCCTTATTCAAGTGGTAAGCATTAAGAACAACTCTTAATTTTGTTGTGTATTGTCCTTTTGTGTTTATTCTGCCAACTCTTCTGAGCATCTCTTGATTTATGAGAGAGATGATGATATCCAAATTGCCTTTTGAGAAGATGCTACTAGTATTTGGTTTTATTCCCCCTCACCCCTTCTTAATTTTCTCATTTGTTCATAAGCTTTGAAATATGCTACTCTTTAGACCACAGGAGGGGCTTCTGTCTCCAAAAGTGTCTTATTTTTCCCAGCTCTACCATTTGGTCTTAAAAAAGATGATATTTCTACCTGCAGGCCTAGGACTATGTTAAGACTTTGTTTATTGAAAATATAGTGACATTCTGCAAAGAACGTTTGGCCATCTGTGTTACTGTATACTGTATAATATTGTATTTTATATTATGTAATATCTACCCCTTTGGAGACAAAAAGCAGCACTCTTCTCCCTGAAAACAAACATACACGTTACAGATAAGAAAACTATGTTCTTGTCTTCATCATTATGGAGTAATTCCTCAGTGATTTTTGTTCATGGGTTCCAAAGAGCACAGACAAGTAATGTTAGGAAGCTGAGATTCACTGAGCATCAAAACTCTAATTAAAGCAAGATAAGTTCAATCAGCATGATGGAAGAATGTAGTTGCTTATAGAATCATAGAATAGTTAGGGTTGAAAAGGACCTTAAGATCACCTAGTTCCAACCCCCCTCCTATGGGCAGGGACACCTCACACTAAACCATGCCACCCAAGGCTTTGTCCAGCCTGGGCTTGAACACTGCCAGGGATGGAGCATTCACAACCTCCCTGGACAACCCATTCCAGTGCCTCACCACCCTAACAGGAAAAAATTTCTTCTTTATATCCAATCTAAACTTCCCCTGTTTAAGTTTTAACCCGTTACCCCTTGTCCTATCACTACAGTCCCTAATGAAGAGTCCATCCCCAGCATCCCTATAGCCCTCCTTCAGATACTGGAAGGCTGCTATGAGGTCTCCACGCAGCCTTCTCTTCTCCAGGCTGAACAGCCCCAACTTTCTCAGCCTGTCTTCATACAGGAGGTGCTCCAGTCCCCTGATCATCCTCATGTTGCCTTACCGTAAGATCTGTGATTCTTTACCAGTTAAAGCTGTTTTAAACCTGCTAAAGGAGATGGGAATGATCTCAGTTCAGAATACTAATAACTAAGAAATAATATTGCTAGACACTTCTCAAATTTTAAAGTATATGTAATCAGTCAAAAGAATCAAGTTGTGTCTGTAGCTCACATGAAACTGGTATTTCAGCCATTCAACATAATTAACTTTATTTAATAGAGTGCTCTCTTCAGTCTTTTAGACAAAACTTACTGTATGAAGCTAATTTTGGGAAAGGTCCAAAAGGTACTGTTTGTGCTGCTGAATTGTGTCTGCAGCTATTCTCCTTCAGTCACTGAGAATGACTGATGAAACTGGGTAGTTACAGTGTATTGAGCTTTGCAGCTATTTAGTGTGTTAAGTTGATCTGTTTATGATATTGTTTCTGTATTTTTTAAACTTGAAAATGTGTGATTTCTCAGTCACATTTGGTGGTATATTATTACTCATTATAACGAAATCCGAATTTTAAAAGTACAGGTCTCTTGCTTGCATTACAAATGGTGGCATTTTACAAAGATACCCCATTAATATGTATTATTGCTTGAAGATTTTTGAAAGACTTTGAACAAAATCAAGCCACAGAGTTTTGGCTTTTATTTATGTGAGCAACTTACTACTTTATGCAGGTTTTTGATGAAGAATCACAAGGCTTAAAAATACCCCAACACCATTTATTAAAGGACCATGCATTATTTTCAAGCATCTTAAGCATCTTCAACTTTTTTTATTAGAAGTTTAAGGCTGGGACTGAAATTTGGTGTTGTGAAATACGTGAGACTGTTAAATACTGATTATTGATTGCACTGCATCCACCAGTCCAGGTGTATTTTTACATTAAAGGTGATTATTAAAGATGTTCTAGCCTTTCATATACACTGGTACGGTAAAAAGGTGAAAGCCCTCATTCTGATTTGATGCTGATTCAGGAAGTAAATGATGAGGAAATGTCTGATTCAAAGAACACTTTCTGGCAATTGTTTATGATGCCATGAATGAACAATTTAATAGGAAAACTTCATTTTTGACAAAACAGGGAAAAAATGCAGTACGTTTTGAATGAGGTTTCAACCCAGCCCCTTAGTTCTCTTCTTACGGGTTTTGAAATTAACTTGGAACAAAAGGAAGTGTAGCCAAACTCATGTGGAGACACTGACAAATATAAATGTTAGGGTTATTCTCTTTACTTAAAACTTGCAGTTGTAAGCAAACACTGGGACTTGTAACAACTATTTTAATCATAGTTCTACACCACTGAGTCTTGGTTTTTCTAAAGTTCTTTACTGTGAGGGTGGTGAGGCACTGGAATGGGTTGTCCAAAGAAATGGTAAATGCTCCATCCCTGGCAGTGTACAAGGCCAGGCTGGATGGAGTCTTGGGTGACATGGTTTAGTGTGAGGTGTCCCTGCCCATGGCAGGAGGTTGGAACTTGGTGAATTTAAGATCCTTTCCAACCCAAGCCATTCTGTGATTCCATGATTCTAAATCTTCATATTGATTTCTATGCGTGTACTTTTTGGTATCAGAGACTGCTATTCTTTCTGGTTTTTACTATGGACAATCATGTATTAGGAGAAGAATGGCTCAAAAATTAACATTATGATACTGAGAATAAACCCAGCAATAAATAAGAAATTTAAACCAAAAAGTCTTTCATGCTTACATGCAATGTGTAATGTAGCCTTAAATATTTCATAGGCTGTAATGTAGGTCAGAGTCGATAGATTACAGTCGTACGTTCTAGTCAGTATTAAAATTTGGAGGATGCTTTTCCAAGCGCTCTGCTGCAGCTTCCCACCCCTCGTCTTTGGGAAGGAGCCCATCTAGGACAGAGCAGCTTGTCTGCAGGGTTGCTGCGTGTCCAGTAGAGGGAGCGTGTTCATGCAGAAAAGGGAATTGGTGTTTTACTGCACACTTTAATATGCCTGTGTTCTTATAAATGCGCCCTTGACTAAAAAATGCAGTCGAAAGTATGAGTCTGAGCGTGCTGGTTGGGTTGTTCCTTCATCTCTTTTAATGTGGAAAAGCATCTTACTGAAAACTCATTTCCAGTTTAATGGGAACTACAAATTATAACATAAACAGGATGACTTGTGCTGAAAATAGAGCTGTTAGCCAAGAATTTCTCAAGGCAGATAAAACTGAGCTAAACTATTCACTGATGATACTGGCAAATGAAAATGCAAATCTGCTTAATAAAATGTGCCAACAAGAAAAGGTTGGTAGACATCACAGACACAGTGGAAGGTCAGAGTTTCTTGTAGAAAGAATCAGATTATATTGATCACAGGAGTATATCTTGGAATAGGATGACTGTAATATAAAATCCAAGCTTATGAACTGGAGAACTAGGGCCCTGCATCCTGGAATATGTCTGGACATCAAAATAGAAGTTAGGCACCAAATAACTTGCAACTCTGGTGACAAATAATATATCCCGCATTAGGTTGCGGGCTCACCAGCTTCATGAAGGAGAAGGATTTATATGTGTTAGGCAGCTGCTGGATGGTGACAACAGCAGAGCTTGATGAGTAACTTTTTTTGGGTTTTTCATGTAGCTGCAAAAATTGAAGTGCTGACTCAGCACAGGCACTGGGAGACAGCATAAGGAGAGAAATGAGCAGATAGAACTGGAAGAGTGATAGATAGCCTAACTGGTATCACCTCTGTGTGTCTGACCATGGCTTGCCATCCGTTCGTAAGATGCATCTGGCAAAGTATTTGTGTAGAAAGGAGTATTGATGTGGTTTTACAGGCTTAGTTTACAGGTCTTGTCATGGAATACTGGAAAGATGGCAGTGAATGGAATAAAAGTACAGAAAGATACACAAATTTGGGAGATCAATAGCCTTTTATGGGAGAGGAAACTGGAAAGACTTGGGTTGTGATTAGTTTGGTGAAAGAACAGTGCAGAAGAGATGCTTTTACTGTCTCTGAATAAACAGGGATAAATACAAGGAAGGAGAGCCTATATTTACCTGAAAAACAGCTTCAGCAGAACAAACTACTGTGAAATGAACAAGAAGAATGTGTTTAACATGGAAATTCCAATAATATGCATAATTAGCTGAAAGAGATCCTGGAATAATTTTCTATTAGGATTTGTGAGGTCAGGAATCCTGGCTGCGTTAGGACTGAACTTGAAAATCAACAAAGGAGATTATATACAAGCAGATGTATGCTGAACTAGGAATCCTTATTTTTCCCAGTCACATGTTCCACTGCTAGGATGCAGTTATCCCCTATGAAATTTATAAAACCTGAAATCTTGGCTCTGTAACATCAGTAATAAAACTGTTACTGGTTGTAGTGGAGCTAGGATTTCTCTTGGGGCCCTAGAGAGTATGAATAGTTTTAGGAGTGATGTGTGTGTTGAGAGCACTTCCTGTGATTTCCACTTCAGCCTGCGAGGTCCCAAAGGCAGGAGAAACAGGGTATTCCCATTATGAAAGGGGGAAATGGAAAGCCCCGAGTTGTTCAGTTTAAAATAGATCCAATCTCTATACCAGGTTTAACTGCAAGAGTGTACACAAAGGGCTGGTGCTCAGTCAAGGGCACAGCTGTCAGAACAGGCTGAGAACTGTGTGAAAAAAGGTATGGTGAGGTGAGTGATATTAATTGTAGTACTTGATGATAATAGCCTTCACTTTCCTTCAGGCTGCAAAAGAAGAGTCTTGATTCTTCAGCCTCTAGCTGGCCATAAATTATATTAGTCTTCCCATAGGGAACTTCAGCTGATGGATTTTAGCATTCTCCAATCTAGGACACTTAAAAATGCTTTAAAAATCTCTGGAAAATCCATCATTTAATTTTCATTAATTTTTATTTCTGCATCTTAACTTGATGAGCAGCTGCGAAATCTAAAATGATGAAAGATACACACGTTTTATTATCTTGAATGTCTACGGCATTTCTAAACTGCTTAAGGACCTGTTAATTCTAAAAATAGTTCCTTTGTTTTAGACCAGGTTATCGAAAATCCTTATGATCAAGAAGGAACACATCAAGCAATTGAGAGAGATGAATACAGAAGCAGAAAAGCTGGTGAGAATGTTCTCGTTTCAGTTCTCAAAGCAGGATATGCTTTAACAGCAAATGCAAATAGATAACAATTAAAACTAGAATCTAGATAAAATCTGTATTTTACTGCTTTCTATAATGTGAAAATCTTTAATTATGTTTTTTAGAGACAAGTCAGAGGTCAGTTGTTTCAAATATGGCTCTCCTTTGAAAGCATTATGCTTTGGAAACTGATGAATGTTAACATCAGTAATGTCAACATGTCAGTTGTCACTTATAGAAAGGAAATACTATGCACTTTGAGAATCTTGGGTACAAGTTTATATGGCAAGACATTCATCATAGTTTTATTTTGTGGATAGTAGATATTTATTTAGCTTTCTGGCCAAAACAGTATCTCAATTCAGAGATTTTTCTGTGTAAGGCTCTGAGTGCCCTTCACAGGCATTTAAAATGACAATACCAGAACAGCTAGAGTAAAATTAGCAGCAGCAGAATAGTTTTTTCTTGCTAGGCTTTATCTAATCATCAGTCAGTAAACCAAAATGGTAAGAATGCCTCTCCTACCACCCATGGCTATCAATCAACTTGAAAGTGGAAAGCTATCAGTCTCAACCTTCTGCTAGCATCCATTCAGACAGCTGTCTCTAAAACGTGCAGGCTGAAGGTTTGTGGAAAGGAAGAGGAAGCCTTTTTATGTCTTGAAACCAAAAAGCTGATTTTTTTTTTTTTTATGTAAAACCTTGAATGTTGAAGGATTTGATTTATTGTGGTAAGATTTCCCTCTTTGTCCCTTCAGTGATCATGTGCACGTGTGCTTTTTTATTCTGCTTCCTACTGCCCCATCCCTAGGTCTCTGTAATTTTCTTCTTTTACGCTGTGATGCTGCTCTTCAAAATCTTGTTATCACTTCAGGTGCTACATTATTTTTTCCTGTGCATAAAATGTTTTGTTTTTTAATTTTGCATAATAACAATAGATACAAAAAAGAAGCAAGACTAAAACATGCCATTGCAACCTATAACTCTACCTGAAAAATTACCAGCTTTTCATAAAATAAATTAAAACCTTTTTGTTTGTATTGAGATACTAGTACTTTTGCATAGATAAGGAAATTTAAAGGAATGACAGCAGCCTTCCTGTGACAAGAATCCAGATATTGTGTCACTCAGCTACTAAGCCACAAATTAACTATTGTTGTTTTCCTTGATATTCCAAAAAATGGAAAGAACGAAAAAGCAACAGGGAAGAAGGGGATCTAGAAATAAATATCAAATCTGATCTATTTGAGCTCAGCTGTAGCCTGCATAAGGATTTGAGATACTTCTGAAGTTCTTCCCTTGCGCTGTTTCCTTTGTAAACCAGCAATCATAAAGCAACCTCCGTTTGCTATTCAAGGCTGTCCTGATAAAAATAGAGGATGTGATACCTTCCCTATTGGGCCGTATTCTTAGCCTGACTTCTAATCCTCTTTGTCCCTTGGAAATCCCATCTACGTTTGTGCCACTGAGTATCTCCTTTAAATCTCTTATTTCTCCCTTAAAATGTATTTCCTTTGAACAAGAATCTTTTTCTGGCACCCATCCACTTGAACATCAATAACATACGTGAACATGAATAAAATAGTATCCTTTGAGTTCATTCAGGTAGAGTTTCATTGGCAGACTTTGATAATTCACACAATTGTGATTTGATAATTGTTAGCATAACAGCACTGTTTGGTTTAGAACAGTCCTCTTGTGGAGGCTTTTTTTAATGACTGGTCCAATATAGAAATAAATGGAACTGACCAAAAGCAGAACTGAATGTAGTCCATTATTATCTGACAGTAAAAGTAAATATACATGAGGCAGTGGATGCCTTCAGAGGAACTATTAATACATACAGATGCACATTTTCCAGTTCATTTTTTTGAAATGAGATCTTATTAATAGGAAAGCATCTTGACATCACTGTACTAGTCTTGGTTGCAGGCTATAAACAAGTTTCCATGTACATAATACAGTAAACACCTTTCTGATAGCCATTTGGATAAACAAATAGAAATATACTCCTATATCAAAAGATATATAGTATTGCATTAACTTTAATAGGCTTTGTCTTTTCCACAGAAATCCTATTCTATGCCAATAGGCATTGAGTTTCAGAGGAGATACGCAACTATTGTTCTAGATCTAGAACAACTGAACAAAGACTTAAATAAAGTTTTGCATAAAGTTCAACAGTATTGTTATGAGGTAAGATTTTGCTGGAATCTGTATGTATTTGTTGGGTTGGCTTAACCTAAGTACCAAAAAAAGTCAGAATTTCCTGGGAATAAAGTGTACATAAGGGTCACTTTGAGATTAAACTAGCAGTAGTTTACTGCTGAAATAAATGAAGAAAAAAATACTGTGCACTATTCACCTGTGAAAACTCTCCTAAATCATTTGTCATTTCACACATACATCAAATGCAAAGGAGATTTTTACTCTTAATTTCTCTTTGTTATATCTGTGCAGCTTGCTCCTGACCAAGGCCTCCAGCCTGCCGACCAGCCAACAGATCTGAGGCGTAGGTGTGAAGAGGAGGCTCAGGAGATCGTCAGGCAAGCAAATTCCTCAACAACAGGACAGCTTTGTGTTGAGAGTGAAAACTTAACTGATCTTATCTCTCGACTTACAGCAATATTACTGCAAATTAAGGTAAAATGTTTGCAAAAAATGGTTTCTCCCATAAATTACGTAGTATTAAAGCTCTGACAGCTTCTTTGTGCCGAACTGTGAGAACGCCTTTTGTTTTCTTCTCCTACAGTGTCTAGCAGAAGGAGGTGATCTGAATTCCTTTGAATTTAAATCACTAACAGATTCATTAAATGACATTAAGAATTCAATAGACTACTCAAATATCAGGTATTACTTTTTAATATTTAATACTTAATTACACATTTTATGCCAGCAAGCCATTCTTACTGTATTTTAGAGGTGAATATTGATTATAATTAAGATCTTTAATCTGGTAGCTTATAGGAATTGTCCCATTTAATAGAGGGTTTCTTAAAGGGAGTGTGAAATTAGCAGTTTTCTGTTTGAACCTATCAGTGAAGTAACCTGAGTAGAAAATAAAAAGTGCAGAATTGATGCCACAACAACTAGACTCTTGTTCTTCAGTCACTTATGACAACTAATAAGTTATTTTGGAACGCTTTCAGACTTTGAAATCCCACTAGTAAGTTCTTTAAACCACAGAACAGTACCATTTCAGTATTCCTTTTGCATTGTTACTCAACCTCTTATCTGTAAATACCAAAACCTGGCATATGAGACAATTACAGCTTCTGACCAGCTTCCATTGGCAATATTCTAAACGAAGAAACAGATGAACAGCCATATTGTGCCAGATGAAAAGCCCATCTACTCTAGATGGGCCATTTTTTCAACAGTTGTCACAAGCAGGTGCCTGAGGAAGCAGTGTAAAAATAGCAAGAATGTGGTGATACTTGTCTGGAGCACACTGCAGCATCCAGCAGGAGTGGCCAGGATTTTATATGTATAATTATAATGCTTCTAAATTACACAATTTGGAAAATTATATCTAAATGCTAAGTATTTCCTTATACTCTCCATACTCTTATTGCTACATAATAAGGGGAGGCTGCACACATGAATTACTGGTTTTGGTTTTGTTTGCAAAAGATAGTAGGATGGCCTTTTGGTTTAAGAGTAATTCCTGAGAAATGCTGTTTTTTAGCATTTTTCAGTAGTAAAAACAAAGCTTCTCTATAATCAACACTGCAAATTGCACATAGGAAAGGATTCAGCCAAAGGTTGAGCTACACTGTGAAGGTGGTGATGTTTCCATTTCATTGTACTTATTTTGGGCATTTTAGCATCTCTTCATAATAGTTTTATTTAAACAACTCTGGCCATGTTAAAGTCATCTTTTAGGTACCCAAATCAGTAACTGCTGATTTCATGCAGCTGTTTGTACGAACACTATATGTACGTGTATCTCTATCAAGTTGCATTAGTGTGTACTACTCTAATTCACCTGAATTTTTATATTTGGGTGTGTTCATACCTTGACTTTCACTGTGAAAATATTCAGATACAACTCTTAAATATGGGGTTTAACACTTTCTTTTCCTCCTTCTTTTCTTCCTGTAGTTGTTTTCAGAATAACGTTGAGATCCATGTTGCACATATTCAGAGTGGTCTGAGCCAGATGGGAAATCTACATGCTTTTGCAGCTAATAACACCAACAGAGACTGAACATTTTCCTTCAAGTGTACAGCAAGTAGTTCTGGAAAATCCTCTTCCTTTATATAGGCTTCACCAAATATCCTAACTGCCAGAAGATAAGGGAAAGAAAAAACCTCTCACAAAGGACCCTTTAAAATATATTCTGCTTCTTAAGAAAACCAGCATTACTGGCCAGCATTACATTAGATTTATCTGTTTGTTATTCACATACAGTAGTTTTGCTAACTGGTAATCTCTTAGTAACTGCATTTATTATAATAAACTTGAGGACATACTTTCTTATAATTTGAACTTAAATTCAAATTAAATTGAATTTAAGTTTTTAAAAGTTCAGATGAGTTCTGCACACCTCTTGCTGTTGACTCTCTCCTGGTATGTTAGAAGTGACGAAGAGGAAATGGCTCACATTAGTAGCCACATGGCAGGTCTTTGTTACGCTTCTGTGTAAGTATGGGAGGTGCCATTTCAGCCTTTGGGTAATGTGGGTACAACACAGGCTGTGTTCCCCATCTAAAGAAGCAGCAACAGGATACGGAGCAGACAGCAAAGAGAAGCTGTAAACTTGAGGATGCTGGGCAGGCCTATCGATCAGTCAGTGGCTTGTTGGAACTTTTAATTTATCGTAACTTATAGGAGTCTGATGAAGGAATGTAAAAAATGTAACGGATAACTCTCCAGGAAGAGATTTTTACCCTTCAGAGGGGGCAAAGTAAGTGCTTTAGCTGGTATTTTCTATAAATGACTGGTTAAGCATACTGTTTTTCCAAATTTTTGTTTGTTTTGCACAATTTTTAAATGAGATGACTGGTTATCCACCAACACCCACCAGATACAGAAGTACAAAGACTTTTATAATGGAAGATAACCAGTGAAGTAAACTGCAAAAAGTGACAACCTGCCTACAGAGTACCTTTTGGAATGTTAAACTTGTAAAAAGTGTGTATTGGTTTGTTTAAATAGTCTTGTAAAGCTTCTGTGTAATGAATTGTTTCCAGATACAGATTTTCAGAGATAGCTGTAGAGATGGTTTTTTGATTCTTTTAGATGCCTCATTAAATGAGGTCTTTTATATGTTAATGTATAAAGAATATGTAAACAGGATTATTTTCAATTTTAAAATTTTGTATAGTTGAAAGATGCTTCTGTATTCTGTGTTGGTATTGTGCCACTGCAAAACTTTAGTGCAGAGTTTCTATTTAGCTAAACTTGTTCTGTTAATTAAGAGAAATGCATAAATCTTTTATTCTCAATGAAATTTGTAACTCTGAATAAATTGACCTATGAGAGTTGATATATTTCACAAAAATGCAAACTTTTTTGCAGATGGTCTCAGGTCATTTCTTTTAAGAGAAGTTAACTTTAATTGCTGAGAATGAAATGTTATGAGGACAAGGCGAGTAGCTGTGTTTAAAGGTATTTAGGAACTTTGCCAGGGATATTGCAAAATAACACTAATTTTGCCAAGTTACCTGTGGAAATTTACCTCTCTTAACACAATAGACCACTGGTGCTCCCTGCAATTGCTTTTGTTGTTATGTTGCCCATCATTCTGTAGTGTTACCCTCTGGTAAAGAAGGCAGGCAGGCAGGTAGGTCACCTCCCACCACCCTTTTTATGTGCACAGAGAAAGGTGCCAGAGCCTAACTTCAGGCAGATAGGTTTAGTATCCTGCCAGTTTGGGGAGTGATGCTGCTGGGTACCTGCTTTTCATGACAAGCTTATTAACTGGATACAGAATACATTGTAGTGACCACCACACTCCAATTGTAACCCTGCTCCTGTAGGTATGACAGATCTTGCATGTGGATTTTTAAATGAATCCATGAATTCCAGCATGTTTTGTGGTGTTGTGGGGTGTTTTTAATCACTGCAGGGCAGTACTGTAGAATCGTCAGGGTTGGAAAGGACCTTAATACCATCTAGTTCCATCAACAGGAGGAAGGTAGGTAATTTGTGATAAGCATATCCATGTACCATGTACTTTCACATGTTGTTTGGCCAGCTCATGTACGCAACGTGAACATTCATGCCTCTTCAAGAGGCTGCCTTTCTCCTTGGTTACTGGCATGTTGGTCAGAGCTAATGCTGAGTTTTGATCAAATACACTTAACAGATATGACTGTTCCTGCTGAATGTGGCCTAAGCATAGTAGGGATCTCAAGAACTCACTGCAACTACTGTAGTGCAGTTCAAGCCTGCAGAAGCAGAACAGGTTTGCTTTCTTAGTAACCTGAATTTACCCTGTGCCCCCTAGAAATGGTTATCTCATTTTCTGCCTCCTGCTCCTGTGCATGCTTCTCAACCCCTACCAAACAGCTCCTTAGGCACCCAAGCCCACTTTGTGGCGGCTGAACTTGATTTGTTTGGTGGGTTTTATTCCATGTTTTAAGGGCAGCTCTGGTTTTGGAGGGAGAACATTAATCAGCAATCCTGCAATGGTACTTACCCTTCGAAGCCTGCAGTTCAACCACGGCTCAGTGTCACAGGTGTCGCAAGCCCAGGTATGTCATGGGGTGACACTGAGGGATTCTGTGCATTGGTAACCTTATTCTGTAGGGCAGGATTCTCAATGCAGGGTATTTCCACCATCAGTGCACAGGTCGGATGTTCTGTGCTCTTCCATAACTGGAGTCTTACAACTTGCTCTGAAGTACTCCTTTGCAGGCAGGCAGAACTGGCCTTACCCTCAAAATAAATACAGAGTAATACAGCCTTCCTAAATAAACTGCCTGACTTACTGGACAGGCTTCTTTTACTGCTGATTTTGGTGCTCTCGGTGCAGACATCCGGCCCCTACTGATCACAGCCACAGCTTCTCCGTGTGTGGTCCCCAGTATTCTAATTCGGAGCTAAAGAATCTTTACCGTGTTGACAAAATACTCCTACTTTCTGTCATCTAACATTACCCTTGGCTTAAGTGGCAGAATTGAGGCTTTTGTCTCAGCAAGACAACGATTTGAGGGTTTGCCTTTTGTATGACTTAAGCCATAAATTCACATTCTCATTCAGGGGTGGGTCTGGTTGTCTAGAGCAGATCCGAAGCAAATACCAACACAGTTTAAGGCATTGTTTGTAACCTGTCCTGCAGGCACCTCAGGTCTCTTACACACGGACTCCAGACGTGGCTCTCTCTCCAGGACCTGGGAAGAGAACCTGCAGGTGGCATATCTACAGCCTCTGTTCCCTACCCCACCTTGACCAAGGTAAGAAACCCTGTCCCTACCCCAGGTACACACACAGGCTTACACAGGGAGCAAAAATGTAAACTTTTATTACTGTTGTTTTTTTTTCCCCTCAGTCAAAATATCCCTATAGCCCATCCTACTCTTAAGATCAGCTCCCACCCCCAAACCACAGTGGCTTCGGTTAGCTTGTTTGACTAAAGAACACAAAATAGAAATACAAAACGTGCTGGCAGCAACCTTTAAATACAGCGTAAAAAGATGCCCTCAGCTGACGGCCCTGACCCGTATCTCTTAAATAAATAGGTGCAATCGGTTACCACCGGATAAAGTGCACAGTCGCAAGGCAGGGGTGAGGTAGCGCGGTGGGTGCCCCCTCCCCGCCCGAGCAGCGCACCGCAGGACGGGGTCTGGCGGGGGAGAGCTTCGCCTCAAGCCCGGCGGTGTGTGTAGCTTTAATCCCCGACGCGGGCGCTCAGAGAGCTCGGAAGGCTCCGAGCGCGTTCTCCTCCCACTCCGAGCCCGACTCCGAGTAGCCGCTGGTGTCCTCCGCGTCCGACACGGGCGAGTACTGCCCGCAGAAGGCGCGGCCCGGCGGGTAGGGCCCGGCCGCCGGCGACCCCGCGAAGGAGGCGGCCTCGGCCCCGCCGGGCTGGAAACCGTCGAAGCCGGGGCCCGGCGGGAAGGCGGCTGCCGGCGGCCACTCGTAAGGGGCCGATCCCGCCTCCTTGGGCGGGAGGAGCTGTGCCGCGCCGGGCAGCGCGCAGCGGGGCCGCTCCGGGCCGCGCAGGGCGGCGAAGCGCTGCGGCCGCGGGAAGCCCGGCGGCGGCTCGGCGGCAGCGGGGCCGGGGCCGGGACCGGGACCAGGGCCAGGCCGGGGAGGGCCCCGCTGGCGGCGGGACTTGGCGCGCCGGTTCTGGAACCAGACCTGGGGAGAGAGGGCGGCGGTGAGGGCGGGCAGGGACGGGCCCGGGTGGCGCGGCGCGGCCGGCGCCCCTCACCTGGATGCGGGACTCGGGGATGTGCGTGGCGTCGGCCAGCTTCTCCCGCAGGTAGATGTCGGGGTACATGGTGTCCTGGAACACCAGCTCCAGCGTCTCCAGCTGCGCCGCCGTGAAGCTGGTCCGCTTCCGACGCTGCGAGGCCGCCGGGGCACCCTCTGACGGCTCCGCCGGGGGAAGCGCCCTCAGGGCGGGCGAGGCCGAGCTGGGCCCGCCGCCCACCGGCCACCTGCCTGCGGGGAAGGAGGGCGGCTCGGCCGGGGGCTCCCCGAAGCGCAGCGCGGCCATGGCTGCCGGCCAGGAGGGGCTCGGGCTGCCCCGCCGCCTTTATAGCCGGGGAGGGGGGCTCCGCAGGGGCGGGGGTTCCGAGCGGGGCGGCCCGGCCCCGGGAGGGGAAGGGGGGCCGGGGCACCCCGCGGAGTGCTTGCTGGTGGGGTGCCCGCTTGGGGTGGCACCCGTGGGTGATGTCCCCCGACGCCCTGCGCGAAACACTGGGTCTGCGTCCACCTTCTATGGGCGAACCAGCGTGGTGTGTGGAGGTTCGAAGCCTGGGTTATTCCTAACGCGGCACCGGGGTCTATACGGTTACGGTGTTTGCCGCTGGCGCGGAGGTGGGTGTTCGACAGCAGCTGTCTGCTTCGGCGAGGGAGGGCTCCTGCTCCCGCATAGTGTGAGACTCGGAGTAAACAAAGGTTATCTCTCCCCGCGGCCGCTCTGTTTGTGCTCGGCTGCGAGCTGCGCGGCCTCCTGCTGTGCCTGCTGCGAAAGCATCTCTTTAAGATGCGAGCTAAACGCACCTGGGCAGCTCCAAGCGGCTCAGACGGGGCAGAGGCAGGCGCTGGTGGCATCCCCTTGCCAACGCCTGCATGCCGCTGCTCGCACAGCCCTGGCGCTTCCGCGATAAGCGTTTCCCAGCTGGAGAGGTCTCGTGCAGAAACGTTGCCCACGCGTTGCAATGGGATGTGCCTGAAAAAGGGTTTGCTCCCGTTTTGCTTTACAGGAATCGTGTGAAAAAGAATGGTGTTTTGATCATTAAAAGCCGTTTTTAATAAGTCCTAATGCACCTTTCCGCGTTTACACGTGCAGCAGTCCGTGTGCTTTCATTAATGAAGTTTCTGAGTCGTTAGTTCCCAAACAAACCTGTAGGATGCAGGTGATGGTCAGAAACATGAGACTTGTGCAGGGTTCTCAGCAGTGTAACGAGAGGGCACAAGTGAATGGTGATGCAGAAAGCACAGACAGCAGCATTTTAGGGTTTAATAAAAGACTTGGGGAGGGTTGAGTTGCTCTGCAGATTCTGTGCAGATTTAGATGCCACGGGTGGTACCAAAGGGAATTGCTCCATATTACATTTATTTGATGAGTGTTTTGCTCTTTTTTATGTATCTTTTGCTGAAAAACATAAACAGACTTTTCTTCCCTGTCTAATGCAGAATAGAGGTGACATCCTTTAGGTTTTGGGGGGATTTAATCCTGCTTTGAATTATGCCCTTACAGGGATATTGACTTTAGGGTTTGGTGAAGATGGATTAAGTAGCTAGACAGAGCGCAGCTTTTTCAAGGAACTGGGTTTTTTTCACACAAGTACATGTGTTGTTTTTCTTCTGAGCAGCAGCAGCAGCAGCCCAAGCTCAAGTAGGTGCTGGCACCACAGGCCCCCCACTGTTCACACCATCCTGCTGCTTTCCCTTTAGCCAGGTGGGTTGCTAAGGTGTCTCTGAGTTTGCACCGTGTGGTCAGAGAACTAATCCAAGTTAAATCAACTGTACAGTAACAGCAGGGTTCTCTCTTTTCCTCCAGACCTGGGATTCCCTGCCATGGGTCACCATGTGGATGGCTGTACAAGCAAGCGGGCACTGTCAGGCGGAGCAGGAGGGAAATAATGGGATCCCATCTGGGGGTGCTTCTGGAATGCTACTGCCTGGATCTGATGCTGAGCTAGAAGAGGACAAAACAGAGACAGGCTCTTCAGGAGCGTTGTGGTTTTCAGTGTCAGACTTCCCATTCAGACAACTGCTTTATCAATGTATGTTGAATCCATACTCAGGAAAGAGTGAGTACTGGGAGCTAATAGACCTATTCCCAACTCATAAATCTGGAAATGGGCTGACTCTTTGATCTCTGACTGCTGTGACATCCTTGGGTCAAAAGCATTCTCAGTTCCCTGGCAGTTTAGGTTATCAGGGGTGTTCCAATAGCTGTCTTGTAACGGCAGCTAACATGCTTCCCCTGATGAGGAAATGAATGGAGATGTTTCCCAGGCCTGAAAGCTGGCATTAAGAGACACGGGTACAACAATTACAGACCATAAAAAAAACAAACAAAAAAAAAGCCAAAAAGTCCACTTTACAGTTACAGTATAAGAAAAATGACTTCTACATACTACTCTTGTATAGGAGTGCAGTTTGACCACCAGTACTGCGATACAGAATAAAAAGGTGGTGTTTTGCAGCTCTATAGAACAAGGTGGGTAAACCTGTGCTACTGTGACTGAATCGTGTGTCCAGAATGTTCAGTGCCCTTAATGGAGCCCAGAATTGCACACACAGCCTCCAGCATATGGGGTTCACTCTCTTGTCATTGAATTACCCATCTGCAGACAACTGCACTTTCAAGCAGCTGTTCCAGCTGTTTACTTGTGAGCAGTGGAGGCAGCAGTAGGTAGGCCTGGCTGTATGTCTCTGGTGCTGACCTCTGTTTGATTCTGCTCCCTCTGCCTCAGTTTCCTTTTCTGGGCTGGCTGTTTAACACCAGCATGTTGATCTACCTTGGTGGTGAGTCGTCTTCTACATACCAGCAGTACATGCAATTCTGGAGAAAGACCAGAGCCCAGGAATTGAGTTTTTCCTTTCCTGGGGCTCAAAGCATCGCACACCAATTTCTTCTGTGGGATCCTGGTGGCCACCCTTCTGTACTGGCTTGATTTGAAAGGGATCTAAGATCAAAGAAAGACAAGGGGGATAGTGCTCTAATTGTAAAGGAGTGTGCTCTTAGGTGGGGATCAGAGTAGGATGCTTTTGGCTCTTCCTACGCAAGCAGGACAACTTGAAAGACAGCTCTTTGCTTTCTTCTGCCAGTTCTCTCCCCTCCCAACGTTGGCACACCTCTCTACAGCTCCCACAGAATGTCATCCCACCGATGTGCTAAAAGCAATGCCTGAGAGGTGCTGCTGCGTGCCTCCTGCACAAGGAAAAAGCACAGTGTATGGAGTTTCTTTTCCTCCACAAGAAGTTTTGCATCCTGCTATGCCTCTTGTAGTCTGACAAGGAGGTTTCCAATGCCTTGTAGGTGCCAGCATCTGCGTGGAGTTATACCTAGGTTAGAGCTGAAAGCATTTAGGAAGACATTCAGACTTCTGTCCCTTCCTGTTCCACACACTTGCTTTTATTTGTGTCCTGCCTAGGCACAAAGGAAGATTTTACTTCTTCCCTCAAAAGACAGAAGCTGTGACATAAGTCCAGAAGTGGCTTGCTTGTTAAAATTCAGATGGCTAAAATTGAGATAGCTCTCTCTAAGGGGAAGAGCAGACTATGTGTATAAATTGGAGATTATAACCTCCTTTGGAGTAATGTAATCACATTAATCTTTACCATATTTGTCAAGAGAGATGCTCCTTATGCTTTTGTCCATGCTGGGAGAGCCTCGCAATATGAAATGTGCCTGTACCTGCATGGTTTTCAAGCTTCAGGTGGAGATCATGCTATCATGTGCCATCCATGGCCAGGCTGGTTGTGGTTCTGGGCAACCTGATCTGGTTGAAGATGTCCCTGCTCATTGCAGGGGTTGAATTAGATGATCTTTGAAGGTCCCTTCCAACCTAAACTAAGCTATGATTCTGTATCACAGCTGCCAGCAAGGATATATGAAAGGCTCTGAGACGCAGATTTTGGAGAAGGGGAGATGGGCCCTGTGCAGAGTTTTCTGCCCTTCTGGCTTTCCAGCCTTTTGCATATTGAGCTCGGGGAGGTTCTCAGGCTGTTGAGGCCACAAAGGCATCTTCTAAACCTGCAGATTGAGATCCTGCCTTACGTGACTCGGGGAGCTGGGGCTTGGGAAGCATCCCAGAACGCACGGCAGGAGTAGGCGGCAGTGTGACATTCAGTCGTGTCTTTGCTGCCAAAACAAACGCACCCTTTTCCATAGCTAACACACACCAGCACTTCTGCTGCTCAGCCCTCGAGGGGTGAGACATGATGGGGTTTGCCATGCCGTGGTTGTAACCACTACTGCAGCCTTTGCTGTGTTCAGACTCCTCTGACTTGTCGTGTCACTTTGGTCCTTCTAGGACTCTGCATGGAGATGGCACTTGCACAGTATCATTTCATTCCAAGAAAGCTTGCTTTCTTTTTGAAGGTTGTCTTTAATGTGAATTCTTTGGTGTCTGAACCCAAGATTGAGGCTTTTAACAGTGCAAATTTAGCGGTTTCTTGTCTCCTCGCAAAGACTTGGTATCTTGGAGAGCTCTATTTCTACATCCGTTTTAACTGAAACCATCCACCAAGGTCAAAGCTTATATTCGGAGCCTGACCAGAAAAGGAACCGCGCTCACACAAACCTGATTTTGGTAACTTAGAGAAAGTTTAAGGAAAAACAAACCCACCTTTTTGCTATTAAGACTGAGCTTAAGTTTAAGCTGTATGAAGCAGCAATGCCCATAGAACTGTCTCACAACTAAAATTAGTTGTAGACCAGACACATTTTTATGGTTGCACACATTTGCTGGCATGGAAATACCGTGTAATTTCCAGCTTTTCTGGCAGGGACCTGATAGCAAAAATCATTAATGCACGCTAGGCTTAGGTTCTGAGGGTTTTTCATTCTGCCTAAAAGGAAATCTTTAGATGAGTTCTTAATTTCCCTCTGATTGCTTCCAGTCACTGTGACAAAGCTCTTTACAGCCTCCAAATGCTTTTAGAGGTTTATCAGGTCTTCCCAATCTACACACACCAAGATCTATATATATACCGAGGCACAGCCAGGCTTTTAGGTAGAGTTCTGAGGTCTCATGGTGATGTCATGTTTTTCATTTACAGTTGTCATTTTATAGTGCTTGTGTTTCTGGGCCTCATGGCTCTAACAAGGAAGAGCTTCAGAAGGTGGGTTGCCTATAGTCCTCACTTCAGCATAGTCTGCAGATGTCTTGGGGCCTGTTCTTGAGAGACCTGAGCTGCCTGCTCCATTTGGATGTTCAGCTGCGTCCTTGAATGTTCCTCCTCACCAGAGCCCTGGCAGGGTGCTGAGGAAGTCCTCACTGTCTGACCCTGCACAGCACCCTCTGCTCCTAGGGAAGTCCCGGAGCATATCCCACCCTCCCCTAAGACAGGGACCAGCACTGTGTTGAGAAGAGGGGGTTTGCCCTCCTGCTTAGCCCAGGAAGCTTATTTGATGTAGAGGGCTCCTTCTGCATCCTGACCTGTGACCAAGCAGCTGGGCTGAGCCACTGTCAGGGCTTTTGTACCTCCAGGTAAAAGCTATGCGATGGAGCCCATGGCATTGAGAGCCAGAGTGGTGTCAGAGCCTGGTGACATCAAACCCCACCGCAGGATGCTGCTCATGCAGCCAGTGCCACCAGGTATTTCAGATCATAAAGTAAAGGGCTGATCTTGCCCAACAGCTCTATGCACAGATCTTCCACAGTGTTAAAGTAAATGTGATGTGGCAAGTGGCTCTGTTCTCTCTGAGAACAGAAACTTCCACCTCATGGGTCATGTACATAAAAGAATGTCTTCCCGGGCTAGGATCTGATTGCATCTATAGATGCATGATCTGTTTTCCTTTGAAAATGAAACTGCTGTCTCTCTTTGTTTTTGTCAACAAGGAATTAATAGTGTCTTGTGACTTTAGCCATGCGCTTAGGAGGGGGATGTGACTTGGTGGTGTAAGCCATTTCCTGAGAGGTGTGAGACGTGACTTCGAGACCTGGTGGTGCCATTCGTGTATTCTGCTTGGAGGAGTTGATAAGA